CGAAGCACTCTTCAACGAGGTGGAGATCAGCGTCGCCAATAGCCAAACCATCCATGCCAGAAGCCGCGGCCAGATCCAACTGGAGTCACATGACACCGGCTACTGCATCCACAGCAGCGACGTCCTCGTTGTGCCCGAGCTCCAGTACAATCTTCTGTCCCTTGACCAGCTGATGAAGTGTGGAGTCGGCCTGCAAGCAACCGAAAACGAACTCCACTTAATATACGACGGAATCTTCATCGGGAAGGCGACAAGCATCGAAGGAGTATTCGTGCTCGACTTTGAGTCACCCAACACCTCTGGCGACAACCAACACATCCTCGTCATCGATCCACCCGGCCACCCATCACCCCCACGGTGGAGCCATCCAGAAGAAACCGACTATCAGCAGCCTGGCCCCGATGGAACCTTCCGCGCTCTTGCCGTACCCGTCGCCTCGACCACGAACCCTGCAGACACCGGACCACAAGCGGTGGAAGAAGAAGGAGAAGAAATCACATCAGAAACGGCAGTTGCGACAACTAAAACGGCAAGCCCAGAAATCGGAGGATGGGCACGAGCAATTTGGCCTCGCGTTGAACAACCTACCGGCTGGAACATCACTGAGGGCTGGGACGCCGTGGACACACGCTGGGTCACGGAGAACACTGTGCTTGTAGAAGCTATTGCAGCTGAAACTGGACAAGGAACCATCGCCGAAGGATCTGCAGCAGAGGAAGCAGAAGCAGCAGAAGAACCAGAAGTCACTGAGGAAGCACAAGAAGCAGAAGAAGAAGAATCACTGACGGAGTACGGCCCTCACCTCCTTCCGATCACGACGGACGGGAGGGATTACCTTCGCATCGAGACAAGGGGAGCGGCGATAGGCGACACTGACTTCGAAGAAGGGGAGATCACGCAGCCAGAAGATCGCCGCCCACGCGTTTCGTCGCCGCCTCCCGAGGGACCACTGGAGCTTCCGGTGACGACCGACACATCCACCATCGGCGACAGCAGCGGGACGTACCATGGCACAACACTTCAAGCAGCAGCAGTCCGAGTTACCGTCCCCGACGAACCTGCAGAACAAGTCAGAACAGAAACCGCAGCAGCAATATTAGCACGGGAGAAGGAGCTTTACGCGCGCACTAAAGGATACCGGGCCGACGGAGACATCTGGCATCAACGCATGGGACACCCATCAATTGAAGTGCTCAACAACTGCATCAACGCAAACGTCTTTGCGACAGACGCACTGTTGCTGCCAGATGGAAAACTACTCAAGCCAAGAACTGACTTACCCAACTGCACCATCTGCCCAGCAGCCGCGCTACGTCACACGCCCTTCGCCGAGAAAATCCCTCGAGCCGAACGATACAAGCCGCTCGAGAAGGTTTACAACGATTTCCTGGTGCTCACGGCGAAAGGAGCTGGAGGGGAGCAGTACACCCTTACCTTCATCGACGCCGGCACGCGCTTCATGTGGGCCGTAAACGTCAGTAACCGCTATCTCGCATACTTATGCTTCGAGATCTGGCTAAGCATGGCGGAGACACAGAGCGACGGACAGAAGCTGAAGGCATTTCACACAGACGGAGCCTTGGAGTATCAGACGGAGGAGTTCAAAACCCTCTGCAAGAAGAAGGGAATCAAAAGGATGATTTCCCTCCCCTACGCTCACGAGCAGCAGGGATTGGCTGAGCGCACCAACAGGAGCCTCGCGACAAAAATGCGAGCTCTCATGAAGCAGTCTGCTGTGCCAACCAAATGTTGGCCGTTTGCAATGGCGCATGCAGTTCGGCTGCACAACATGCTTTCTTCGAAAGCGCTGCCCAACAAAACCTCACCTTTCAAGGAGTGGACCGGAAAACACCCTGACACACGCATGCTACGGGTCTTCGGGTGCATGGTACAGTACCGCCCCCACACTGCCCGGACCGGAAATTTGAAGACCGCGCCCGCTGGGGCATTCACCTCGGAATCGAATCCGAATACCACGCCTGGACAATCCTGGACTTCGCCACCCACCAGCTCACGCGCTCACGTGACTGCATCTTCTATGAAAGAGTGACACTGCCACTGTACCGCCAGCACCGCACTGCACAAAACGCACCGGACAACATTTTTCAGGGACAGCAGAGCTACGCAAATGACGAGGACGACGTCGACGTGGCAGGAGAACAGCCAGACGAGGCAACTGGGAACGAGGCACCCTTCGTACCCATTACGGAGGAGTTCAGGACAGCCACATTCTTCCCAACGGAGACCGATTATCACGAAGTAGTACAAGCACAGCACGACTATGCAAGTGCAGAGATGCACTTACCCATGGACGAAGACCCCGCCCGCAATTCTTCTCGCGACACTGTTCGCGACATCCCTGGCGACGACGATGACGTGGTTGAGGTTACCAACACAGCTGAATCCAACCTCACAGGCCTTCGCATCCTTGGCCTCGCCATCGCTGTTCGGGGTAACCAGTAGCTGGTCGAGCCCACCACCATTCGTCAGGCTCTCAGTGGGCCCGATGCTGAGAAATGGAGAGCTGCCATGGCCGCAGAAGTCGCTGCACTCCAGCGACGTGGTACCTGGAAGCTGGTACCTCGACGACACGCAAAGGGGAGGAAAATCCTTACGGGAGAATGGGTCTTCAAGACTAAAACTCTCGCGGATGGGACTATTGACAAGTTCAAGGCACGCTGGGTCGTCCGCGGATTCGAGCAGACTCAATTCGTGGACTACGATCAAACATTCGCACCTGTCGGCCGCCACACCTCTGTGCGGATTCATCTTTGCATCGCCGCCGTGAAGCAGCGTCCCCTCCGCAAGATCGACGTCTCCAACGCCTTCCTCTACGCGATCGTCGACGCCATCATCTACGTTGAGCATCCGCACGCCTTCGAGGAAGACGGCGACGCCATCTGCCTCCTCCAGAAGTCCCTGTACGGCATCAAGCAGGGGCCACGCCTGTGGCAGCAGTACCTTCACACCGTGCTCATCGAGCTCGGCTTCCAGCAGCTCCCTCACGATCAGGGGATGTACCGCCTCGAATCCCGCGGTCACTTCATCCTGCTCGTCGCCTACGTGGATGATCTCCTCTACACCGGAGATGACGCGGAACTACTCGATCGCTTCGAACGCGACATCCAGGCGAAGCTGGAAGTAACCATTGACCACGAGGTCACGCAATTCCTCGGCCTCAACGTCACCCAGACCGCCGACACAATCCACCTCTCTGCCGCGAAATACGCCGAAACACTCGCTAAGAAGTTCGGCATCGCTCCCGTCGGCATCACTACCCCATTCCGCACTCCTCCGCCTAACTACGAGCCCGACACTACCCCGCTCTCACAGGCCGATCACCGCCTCTACCGGCAGCAGCTCGGGTGCCTACTGTTCGCCGCCGTCACATGCCGCCCGGACTTATCCTACATCGCCAGCCAGCTCGCCCAGTACCTGCGTCGACCTGAAGGGGAGAACCTGGCAGACCTGCGTCGCGCCTTACAGTACTTCATCTCTACACCCGATGTCGGCCTCACCTACACAGCGAACCTAACAGCTACTCTACAGCTTACTGGCTACGTGGATGCGGATCACGCAGGGGACGCAGATAACAGGAGATCCCGCACATGCTTTATTTTCAAACTTGAACCTTTAGGAACCATCTCCTGGAACTCACAGAAGCAGGAGCTCATCGCCCTCTCGCAGCAGAAGCAGAGTTCATCGCAGCAAGCGCAGCAGTTCGCGAAGGTCTCTACCTCATAGAACTCCTACAGGAAACGAAGACGGCGATGAACGGGTCCTTCAAGTTACTCTGCGACAACCAGAGCGCGATCAGAATCGCAAACAAGCCAGGCTTCGTCAACCGCACGAAACACATCGCCCTGCGTTACTTCTTCGTCAAGGACGAAATCGACAAAGGGAAGGTCCAGCTCACCTACTGCCCGACTGGCGAAATGGCAGCCGACTTTCTGACAAAGAAACTGCCACGTCAGAAGTTCCAGTACTGCTCGGATCTGTGCGGAGTCGTTCGAAAGAGCCACGTGGCGCACCTCCAGGAATGAAGGGGAGTGTTGGAGTATGAAGGGAACTACACTTAGCATTCCCGCAGGTGCAGCAGTATCGCACCAGTCCTTATCGAAGCAGCAACAACCGCAGTATCGGATCAGCCCGTATCAAGGGCAGGAAGGTCAACAGTCACAAGAGTCAACTGTCGCGACTGCTGACCATCTGGACCGACATTTGACTTATTATCGCGGAATGGCAACAGGCGTAACCGTATGTACAGGTTACATGCAGCGACTCGGTAACAAGAAAGTAGTACAACAGTCAGAGTCACTGGAGAAATGCCTGTAAAGCAGTTAGAATAAGGGAATGTACCCCACAGAGTACATGGCTAGCTAGGAACTATTTATTATGTGTGTAATCTTTGTTTTAATCAACTTTGTCATCTACATTCACTATTATCAGAGTTCCTACAACTAAGACTTCCGCTACCAAACTCTTCTAAGGCATTCCTATCCTATCCAAGGTCCTCACTCTAACAATCGTGCTGCTCAATGCATTCATTCATGCCTGCTGATTCTAACAACATCAACCCTAAATCCATGCCTTCCTGTGTTTAGGGTTGATGCCTCCCTGACCGGATGCATGCCCGATAGGGTTTTATGTTTTTTGCCCGCGGGCAGCGAGCTCCCGCGGGCGGACTCGCTTGTCGGCTGAGGTATTTCATTCCATACACCGAACGCGTGTACCGAAAGTTTTGAGTTTCAAATCCGATTTTTTTTTAGAGTACAACAAAACGTTTTTTTTATAGTATCTCGCAAAAGCTCCACGCCTTTAGGTGTATGGTTCCGCTCTCATCCTCGTCACTGATTGTGAGACAACCACCCACCAACACCCTACTGGATAAGGATAAGCTGTAGCTCGAGCCTCAGCCGAGTTAGCACAAGTTTCAGTCACAATGTCCGCTGTATTTCTGCTCCCATAGCTCATACGCCGGCAAAGCACAATACCGAATCATGCGCAGAACCACGCCTCGTTGGCCTGTGTGGCCACTCTCTGCAAATGTCACAACTCTCCTCCTTCTCGCGGCCATCGCGCTCCCTGCTGCCACCGCCTGCTCCGTTTCCAGCGCCAACCGCGCGGCACTGCCTCCGCGCCGCCGAGATGCCCCGGCGCGGGTGCGCAAACAGTCCCTCCTGTCTCGCCTCCCTCGACCCAATCGCGCCCGTCGCTCCCTCTTAAAGCTCGACGTCGCCGCCGCCGCGGCCGGATCCTCTCCTGAGTCAGGCGCTGCGAGGCCTGCCGTTTTGGAAGGCTCGCAATGTGAGTTGTTGATTGCTTAGGGCTCCCTCCCTCGCGACATCCTCCCTCCTAACGGAGGAGCTCCGCTTCTCACGGAGTAGAGGTTTCGAAGCACACGGAAGCCAACGCCAGGCGTAGAGTACAACTTGGAAGCCTGCAGTTCCAACTCATTTTTCAGAGTCAGTCGTCACGCACTGGCGCTGGGAGATTCAAATATGCTCCGCTTTTCTCCGCTAATACTGGCAGTGAAGGCGCTGGTGCAGCTGAAGGAGGCGTGGGGCATGTGGGCGGGCAACAGCAACGCCACCACTGCGTGCTCTGCATGGACTGGCGTCACCTGCAGCCCCAAGGGGCTCGTCACCGCCCTGTGCGTCCCATTGCCGCCCCTCATTGCCCTCAATACTCTCGTTTTCAATGCTCTCAATGCTCCTCCATCACCCCTTGTCGCCCATGAGTGCTCTGTCGCCCTCACATTCATCATTGCGCCACCGCTACTAATTGCTTTTGCACATGCAACAATCCTGGATTCTGAGTGTGTGAGTGAGGGAGAGATGGAGGGAGTCGGAATCTGGACGGGAAAGGGTATGGGGTGGGAGAGGTGGGGTGGTGGGATCGAATGGACTGGATACTGTATTGCGTGCATGCATGTTTGTCCTGGCAGGGATTCAAAGCTATTCCCTGAATCGGATCCTCCCCCCAGTGGCGCCATACCCGCCTCCATCACTACTCTCGCCACTCTGCAGTACCTGTGCGTCACCACCCACCCTCTCTCTGCTACATCCCTCATTTGCCCAACATCTGCGAGCTCTTGTGTTCCCACTCTCTTTCATTCGCGCGATTCTACACGCCACAGCTGACCATTCGCCCCTGCTCCACCCCAACTGCAATACCTTCCTTCTCTGTCCACACGCCACAGCTGACCATTCTCTCTCTCTGCACTTGATGCGTCACTTTTCCAAGGGTCGATTCTATCTTTCCATTGGCCTCTCCTCCCATCCCACAGCGATCTGACCTACATTGATTTGGTGGGGCCCATTCCATCCCTCGCCAGTCTCACCGCCCTCTCCCACGTGTACGTGCCGCTCATGGCTTCTCCACCTGTACGTGCCGCACATCGCTGTGCATGCACTAAATATTGGATGGGCCAGAGAATCGGTTTGCGTCTCTGCTGGCAGATTGGATGGGCCTGAAATGTGTGGCACAGATGCACTCCTGGCCCATCCAATATGCCCCCATCCTCGAGCTGAAAGACAAATTGGTATGCCAACTATGATATAGTTTGGATGGCCAACAATGTTTGCTTTTCGCGGCGCGAAAAGTGTTTGCAGCGCAAACAGTGTTTGCAGGTTGGTGAGGGAGGAGGAGAGCCAAGCGAGTCCCATTCTCGAGCTACAGCAGAGAATAAAGGCATCTCCCCCCTCCCTCCCCCCCCCCCCTCCCCCCCCCCCCCCCCCCACTCTCCCCCCTTCCCCCCCTCTCTTCCCCCCCAACCCCCACCTTCCAGAACTTCACCACGTGACTTCCCTCTCCGTTTTCTCGCACCACTCATTACCATTCGGCCCCACTCCTGCTCTTGGAACCATTTACAACTATTGATTACTGCCGCCCTTAAATCCTCTACCCCTGTGGCTTGTGTCCCCATTGCCCACTGATTGTGCCACGTTCACCCTGCATGTGTTCTGTTGCTGTTTGCATGCCACGTGTGCACTCAGAGCTATTGGCGGCAGCAGGCTGACTGGCACTCTGGACAGACTGGCTTGGCTCTCCTCCCTCACCAGCCTCCAAACACTGTACGCCCTACGTGTGGTTTGCACACGGCAGTGTCTTTCAGCCATGCGTGCAAAAGTCCCATGCAGCAAACCATGCAGAATTTTCATGCTTGTACCTTACAGCCATCATGGTCTCTTCATTGCCTCACTGTCCTCCCACCACCAGGGGTTTAGAGTACTTGGCTGCATTCACAGGAGACTTGTCCTCCCTGCACATTCTTTCTCACCCGAGAAACCTTCAACAGCTGTAAGCATCAGTACGGTGCACATGTTTCTCATATCGTGGTTGCGTCATGTTCCTTCTCAGAATTTTAATGACATTGTCTAATTTGACTCGCAAGTGTCATGTAATTGCCCCTTGCTGATTACATGTGCGTTAACGCAGGAAATTTATTTCGCTTACCAACGCCACAGGGGAAATACCCAGAGAGATCCGATACTTGACAACCCTCACTGGACTGTAAGCTGCACACAAGTCCTAAGATGGGACAGTTGAAGCACTACTTTTCTTCTTCACTAGGAAACGTCTCCAATCCCTTGCCTGCAACTCATTGTGATTGCCCTCTCAATGTGGCATGCTCATGCCATCCTCCCTGCAGGGACCTATCCTATCTTCGTGCCCTGGAGTTTCCTGATTGGGTCACCCACCTCTCAAGCCTTCAGTATCTGTGAGCTGCTCCTACTTCCATGATCGCCACACACTACATCCTGCACGAATCACGATGCACTAGAGCCATCACCGTGACAGGAATTGTCTCAGTGCGGAGAGTCTTGCCGGCCTTCTTTCGTGCGCAGGAACGTGAATACGGACGATCCACGTCGGCAGGGGCTCTTGAAGGACGACATCTCTGAGCTCACAGCACTCACCTTCCTGTGAGTTTAGTGTGTGTGGGAGTGTAGCGAGCATGATTGCTTGGAGTGTAGCGAGCATGATTGCTTGGAGTTTGCTCTTAACTAGGATGTTAATCCCACAGGAGAAGAGGGCTATGACCTTTCACATGAAATGCCACGGTTATGTTATTTGTACCAGTGCTGTTTGAAAAGAAGATGACATGTATGTACGGTGTGTCCTGCTGAAGGCGACATAGATCTACATACCATTCCCTGCACCATATCAACTTGATCCTTGCTTCATTGCCACCTCCAGTAGGGCAAGAAGGCACTCGTGAGTGTTTGGTCTATGGATATCGGGAATGTAAGAAGCTGCGTTGAATAGACCTCGATTCATTGAAATAGTGCTTGTTGGGGCTGAATCCCAACTGAACATAGGGTGTGTTTAGTCTACGAACAAACTGCAAAATGAACCTAAACTGAACCTGAAATGAAATTAAGGCTAAAACTGGCCGAAAGGTAACAGAAGGCCACATTTAAATTACAGAGCGGAGACTAGCCTACTCCAACAGTGAGTCCTGCCCGAACCTCTCCATGACCCCCATCAACTAAAAGCACAGGCGTCCATCCGTTGCCTGCTCCCATGCTCTGCAGATCCATCAGTGGAAACAACCTGGAGGGTTACCTGTCAAAAAGCTGGTCCACGCTCGTCAATCTCGAGGAGCTGTAAGTCACTGTTTGCCATACCATATTGCCGTGCCGCCATGCCGGCGCACTTCTAGCATTGCGTGATGCTGTCCCCAAATACCACGCTATTGGCAGCAGCACGAACCCTATTGCTGTTGCACCATGCCAGTGCCCATCTTGACAAACCCAACAACTCTTGATTGCATCTTTAGTATAGTGAGCTTGTTTTCGTTCTCCTCCGTTGTTTTCCTTCAGATATTTAAAGCGACGGTGCACATTTGCCACCCAAAACCCAGAACCCTGGCGAACTGTTACTGCGGATGGAAAGTGTCCGCACGAAATCCTGGTTTTCGCCAGCCAGCACTTTCGCGCTGGCAAGCCTGGTTCAAAAAAAAAACTTCTGAACCCAACACTGCCAAAAGTTGCCCGTCGCTTTAAGCAGCAACCGCCTCCAAGGAACCATTCCGGCCACATTTTCAGCTCTAACGGCCCTATCTGTGATGTGCGTTTCCTGTGTCCTCCCACCTTACCATCTTCTGTATGGACCCCACCCCGTCCCCGCTGTTTATGCTCGTCTTTTCCTCAATAAGTACACTACTAATCGGTGTTCCACGTGCCATTGCAGGGACCTTTCGGGGAATTCGCTTTCTGGTTCGATACCCCGAGTATTCAGCACCAACATTCAAACGATGTATGTCGCTCACTCTTCTCTCCGCCTAGTGTACCACCAAAGCCATGCCTCGACCACCAGCCCCTTCTTTCACCGTCCTCCTTCTCCCTTGTTCCGAACTTCCTTGTTCCGAACTTCCTTCTTATCAACCCCTCTTCATCCTTCTTTCCCCTTCTCTTCTCTACTCCGTTTATCCATTCGTACAACTCTGCCCCATCCCTCGCTAGCTTTGCTCCAATTGTCCGTCTCAATAAAGTTTCCTATTGTCTCTCTCAATAATGAAATGCGGTGTCCTTCCACAGTCATCACGCCTTCCTGTGCAGGTGACCTCTGGTCACAGAGAATACTGAAATGAGTCGCTGCCTCTCACCTGTCCTGCCTGCATATCCAGAGTGCTTGAATACAATTCATTCAGTGGACCCATCCCACCACACCTGGCAATGCCCAGCCTCGTTGAGCTGTGAGACCCTCGTTGCCCAACCTTACTGTGGTTGCCCATTTCTTACACCCTCGTCTATGAACCTCCGGTCCTATTTGCTCCTTAGTCGTATTGTCTTATCTCCATTTCCTGCTTAGCCCCATATATTAATTTCTGTGCAGATCCTTTTCTACACCGCTTCTCCATGCCATCTTTTCTGTTGGGCTGTCCTGGTTGCAGTCGATTGTCCGACAATCTGTTCACAGGAGGCATCCCTAACACCTTCACTCGGCTAACTGGCATGAGTTCTCTGTACGTCTCTCACCACGTTCACTCCCTACCGTTTGGTTATCCCTGTATGTACCCACCAACTGCACTAAGCGGCTGCCTAAGTGAATGACAGAAGCACATAATTTTCTCCGTAGCATCATAAGCTACTGGTTGATCATTGCTGTGGCTTTTTTTACCAAGTTACCACATTCCCAGTTATGCTGGTCGGATATGACATATGTGTCAACATGTCTGCACAACTTGTCAGACACATTGCTGACAACAGTCTCAGCTCAGGCCTTCATGTGGTGGCTCAGATGACATGGCTCACAGACATGTGAGCATTCTCCCCTCATTGCCTCCTCATCTTCCTGCCATTTGATCTCACCTTGTTCTTCCTCGCCTTTCTAACGTTTCCTTGCAACATTGAGCCACTTCCTTGGCTTCTCATTGGCTTCGCAGTATCCTCTTTGCAAACAACTTCTCACTGGCGTTGCAGAATTCTTGATACCAACAACTTATCTGGTGTGCTACCAGCGTCCTTATCAGGAATCAAGGGCCTCTCGTCTCTGTGAGTCCGTTTTATCCATCTCTCACTTCATTAGTGCGACAACCGCTTTCTTTACACCTACCTCCGTTGGATTCAACAACAGCTAGAGTTCCGAGTACCCCTGATTCAAGGGCACCTGAATGATATTAGGGATCTGTTCACATGCTGGCCTGTCTCCATCTGTGCACATGGACACCTTTGTGGATGGGCACGTCCATTCATACAAATATGTGTGTGCATGAACAAAAGTGCCAGAGACAATCGTTTTTTGCCCACGTGTTCACGAATGCCTGTATATGGGTGCCTGAATGTGTGCTATCCCGTACTACATTCTGCATGAATGTGTGTTCATCATCTCCGCACCACGATCAGGTTGATCACTGGCAACCACTTTACGGGAACCTTCCCTGATTTTATCTTACACCACAAGAAACTTAAAGCGACGGGCAACTTTTGGCAGTGTTGGGTTCAGAAGTTTTTTTTTTGAACCAGGCTTGCCAGCGCGAAAGTGCTGGCTGGCGAAAACCAGGATTTCGTGCGGACACTTTCCATCCGCAGTAATAGTTCGCCAGGGTTCTGGGTTTTGGGTGGCAAATGTGCACCGTCGCTTTAAATACTTGTAAGACATCCACTCTTGGCCATATTCATGGAATTGTGAAGCATATCTCTTCCAGTTATGCCCCCTGATCATCTAAATGCCTAATGTGCCAATCACGTTTTTGAATGGCTATGGCAGGGACTTAAACAACAACAGTTTCACTGGGACGATCCCTCGCGAATTGACCGAACTTGTCAGCTTGCAGGGAATGTGAGTGGCGTTGCTTCCGGATCCAGCACAAATGCTTGTGGGTTCAACGTTATCAGCTGTGGTTTCACCAGCTTGCGAAAAATAGGCGGTTGTTGGGTTATGGGACCTTCAGGGATCGGACAAGATTATAATTGCTAAGCAAAGCACTAATTTTGGGGCTGAGGAGAGTTTAAAGCCTTCTTCGTGGATTTTCTAGATAAATTCGATCACTTTGAGACCCTTGACATTATTGCCCAGTTATCTCAATGACAACAATTTCCGTGGAACCATCCCTTCCGGCCTCTTTCAGCTATCCATGCTGGACACACTGTAAGTAGCTCCAGAAGTCCATTGCACCATTTGTTTCCAAAGCGTTTTCTTCCATTCAGCAGCACCTTACTTCTGCCATAGATTGCACCCCTTGCCTCTGGCCCTTGATGATGATCTGAGTATGTATAAAAGAGTGACTGCACATATCAATACTAGTATTCTGCAGAACGTCTGTCGCATGGTGCGTTTCTAGTAACTCCTGGAGTGCCAGCTACTAGCATGGAGGTTATTTTCAGGGTTACCAACCATTTACCCGTTTTTCTACTTCACAGCCGTTTACCAACCTTGCTGTCTGTTGCATGTCATGTTGAAGACTCCTCCTTACAGCTGCTGAAGTTATGGATGAAACCGTTTTTTACCTTCATTCCCCCTTCTTCCAAATGCAGGGCGGTAGCCAACAACTTGCTTTCTGGGGGGCTTCCATATAATCTCAGTGCCCCTCCTTCTCTTCTCGTACTGTAAGCAGTGCAATTGTTGTGTGCTGCCACCAATGTGTGTTCCTGTACCACTTTGTGTGTGGGGGGCTACCCATTTCTGTTCGTTCTTTATGTGTATGCCCCTGAAATCTTCATCTGCTGCTCTTTCTGCCTCCCTTGCTGCAGTAATATGGCAGGAAATGGATTTAGGGGCTCCTTACCAGACTTCTCACGTTGGAATGTCAGCTGTCAGCAAATGTAAGCCTCTCCGTACCCTCTTCCTTAGTCAGCATGTCTCCGAGTCGGGCGAGATTACCCATATACAGACAGCATACCATCACCCATTGTTGCTCCTATCATTTTTAAAGAGTACTTCAGAAATGATGCGGCTTGGAAACATCTGCCTTTATTGCACTCTTAGGAACATCTACAGATGGTCGTTGGGTAGCCAACGCCCATCTGCATACCTGCGTTGGGTAGCCGCAGGTATCCGTATTATGGATACCTGCGGCCCGTGCCATTTGGGAAAGAGTCAAAACTAGACTTGCTTCCTCATCTATATTCTCAGCACACTGCGCTTTGTGACATTTACTTGAACCCATGATGAGCACCTGCATTCACCCGAGACTTGTCTCTTGCTGCCTTGGTTTTGTTGTGGTTCAGAGATCTCAGCGGCAACAACTTTACAGGATCAATTCCCGACTCCATCTCCACCCTCACCACCCTCGAAGCCATGTGAGCCATGCCAACGTGCTCTTCAACCGATGCCCCTCAAAACATGCCCTTCAATGAAAGCCCTTCAACACATACCCAACATAACATCCAAGCAATGTGGGTTGTGTCAGATTACGATGTTTGAACCTCGATCTGTGGGAGATTGCTAGCAGTGGTGGCATATACGCTGGCAGTGCCCATGTGCTAGCAGCAACGACTCAATATGCATTTCTCTTCCCATGCCCCTACAGCATCCTCAACAACAACCAACTGACGGGCACCATCCCCTCTGCCATCTTCAGCATGACAAATCTGAAATATCTGTGAGTTTCAAGCATCCACAAAGTGTTCGTGCCACTGCCTCGTGGCACTTTCCTGCAGCACCCCTCATTCCTCTTTCACACGCCACTTCTCACTGCAATGACTCGTCTCCCTGCCATTACCCTCCATCCCTGCAGCTACATGGCCAACAACCATCTGAGTGGCAGTCTGCCAGCTGCCATCAGTCGACTGGAGAAGCTTGAACAGATGTGAGGGTGCTAACTGTCGTTATGCTTGACAGTTTTAAAGAAAGTAGGTCACACGCGAAAATCGATTACATAATGGTTACTGAATGTCAGCACCCACCGCCCTCTCCACCAAGGTGCAAAGTAGGGCCGTTCATTTTCTGTCTCTTTTTTTTTTCCCCAATCGCAATAAATAATATTGTCTAAAACGGTTTTTTAAATTGAATATGTTTAATGCTGCTCTACTGGTGGTGTTTTTTTGTTTAGTGAAAAAAGAAATGGTAGTTCTTTACTGTTCATGTTTTTTACCAGGGGAGGACACCAACTCGGCATGAGAAAATAGTGAATTCGAACGTTTCGATCACTCGAGACAATTGAAAATGTTCGGTTCAAGTCTAACAGTTTCCAGGATTGGGGTGTTCGACTGTTCGACTGTATGTCGAACCTGGGGCATGAACAGTGGAACCGGTTTGAGTTCGTTAAGTGCTTGAGTTCATTATCATCAGCCTCCATGGTTTCCTGTTTATCGGGGGAGCAATTGTGGGGGTTTTGGGCATTCCGGGAAACACAGAATGAAAATACACTGGGGCATTAGGCAGGACAAAACAGCATTACGAACTTGACTGCATGCACAATACTTAGAACCACCAACAAACAGCAGGCTCTTTGATTTCTTTCTACTTAACAACAAAACAAAGGGGATTACATGAAAAGGTGTCGGTCCGATGCAACTCGACAGTATCTGACTAATCCATGAGGCTGCGGACACAACTGATAGCCCTGTTAGCCCTTTCTTGCATTTCTCCCTTCGTGGCCATCACCGAGAATATTTCTGAGGCTACCACAATTCTCTGCATGTGTGTGTGTGTGTGTGTGTGTGTGTTTGTGTCTGTGTGTGTGTGTGTGCGTGCGTGCGTGCGTGCGTGCGTGCGTGCGTGCGTGCGTGCGTGCGTGCGTGCGTGCGTGCGTGCGTGCATGCGCATGTGCGCGCGTGATGTGTGTGGGTGGGTGCGTGCATCCGTGCCTGCGGGCAGGCGGGCGGGCGCGTGTACGTGTGCGTGTGGAATTGCATGTGTGTTTTTACCCATAACAATTGTACCGTATTTTTACTCATCGTGCCACCTTCGGCACGTTATTGCTCTGCCTGCCTCGGCAGCTGGCTGGACAACAACAACATCGAGGGCCCTCTGCCAGCTAGCCTGTGCTCGCTTCCCTGGCTCTGGCGAATGTGAGTCGTTGTGTGTGCACGCAAGCGAGTATATGTCACGAGTGAGAAATCGGACTGCAAAACCTGAGGCACTACTTCAAAGTATGGTCTTTTATGCATGTACACTGTGACTGTATACATAATGCACTCATTATTCTGTTTGTAAGGAAGTATGGAAAGTAACCTTATCTCCATGCCTTTGCCGTTTGGTCTGGGCATTACTAAATGCCGTGGCGTGGCTTGTGTTACGCTGTTGAGTAACAACTACGGTCTGGGTTTTTTGGCAGCATGATGAGCAACAACTACCTCTACGGGCCCCTACCAGACTGCCTCTTTGACAAGTGTGTCAACCAAATGTGAGCATCATGATTTCAATCAGCTCACGCCCTCACCATGGTCGCCACAGGGAGTCACATGAGACATGAGTTCACTGTAATAGCGTAAATAGTGGTGGGACCACATCTAAACACCTACAACCTTTTTTTGCCTTGTGTCTGCCCCCTGTGCTTCACCACAGCGATGTGAGCAACAACAGCCTGTACGGGCGCATCAACCGCGACTTCAAGAACATGGTGGCGGATGGGGAAGCCCTCATCAACTTGGCTCACAACTTCTTCTTTGGAGATGCCGTGCCTTTGCTGCCGGCTGCAAGGTCTGCCCCACTGAGATCACCGAGCCCAACCAGCTGGGCATGGGGAACACGTTTGATGTGTTCGCGGGCAAGTGCAACAACGCCGCAGCCACTGGGCTGCGAGATATCTCCGTGGCGGGGGCAGGCAAGGAGGCGAGGGTGAGTCTGTCGGGCAACTGCCTCACGCTCAGCGCGGATGCGTATTGCTCCTCCAACGCCACCCAGCGCAGCACGGCAGCCTGCCAGGCGTTCTGCAGCATCACGGACAACGGCCCGTGTGACGGCCATGGGGCATGTGTGCCGCCTGCACCCGCCTCCCCCACCAACTTCACCTGCCTCTGTGATGCCGGCTACTCTGCTCTCGACTCGGGCAACGGCTCTACCTGTGCCATTGTCAACTCCACCACCACCACCACCAATGGTGAGCCCTGCTTAAATTCGTTGCCCCACTTGAAGATGTTTCCGTGTTGCCCCATCTCATGGAATTATTCTCATATATCTCCCTTTGTCACCCTCATTCCCCATCCCCTCACTCACTTCGTAAACCCCCCCTCCTGTTCATTCCCCCCGTCCCCTATCCGGCCCTCCCAATCCTCCTCTCACCCTTCCCTGCCATGGCATGGCAGTGTCCTCACTCTCCACGGGCGCCATAGTGGGCATTGCTGTGGGCTGCTTTGCTGGCTTCGCTCTGCTGGCTGCTGTGGTTGCTTGGCTGCTGTGGCCCCACCGACCAAGTGAGCCCGTCGACCCTTCTTCAGTTCCATTCCATCTCCCCTTTTGCTGCACCTATTTCCCAGCCCCCTCCTCTGCTCTCCTGATCTGCCACCACTCATGCACTACAACTCGCCCCCCCCGTGCTCTGTCTGATCATCTACACCCTTGGTTGGTCACCCATCACATCTGTCTCTGTGCGTGTGCGCAGAGAAGTGGGAGGGGCTGGATGTGTGTGAGCAGTTCTCGCTGCAGCAGATGGTGAGGGCCACCAACAACTGGTCGGACGACAATGTGCTGGGCAAGGGTGGCTTTGGCATTGTCTACAAAGGCCACTCGCCACACGGCCAGCTGTGGGCCATCAAGCGCTCCAAAGTTATGACCAACGACTTTGAAACGGAGGTGAGGCATACCTCTCTGTAGCAGCATCTTCCACACATGGGAAACGCTCGTCTGTTTCTTTAACACAAACTGGAAAAAAAAAACCTGAAAGATGTTTGATTGAAGGAATCACAAGCACACATAGGAATGAAGAGAAGGGAAAAATAGAAGGAGGTGGTTGGGAACAAGTGTGGAAGGGACCATGGGGGTTGTGACAAACCACCCCACTTGTTTGTAAATTGGGGGCTCCACCACAAGTGGGTGGATTGGCACCCCAAATACAAGTGTACACCCACAACACAATTGGGTACACTCCCAAATCGACAGTACACCACACCTCGTGTACAATCACAAACTTAGCATGCTATAACATACATATTTTTTTAACACAAACCATATCTTTTATGCAAACCTTTTTTCTCTCATTCAAATTCGTGCGCACCATCCATGAGCAATGAGTTTGAAACGGAGGTGAGGCATACCTCGGTGTAGCATCCTCTTCCACAGATGGGAACATAAAAGCACATGCTAACTCTTGTGTTTTGTTGTTAATGCAAACCTGCGACTTCGGTGCTTACCATCCATGTCCACGTACCTGCGGAACGCCTGTTGCCTGCAGGTGCGCGCCATGGCCTCTCTCCACCACTCGTATCTTGTTCGCCTGCTGGGATTTTGCCTGGACCAGAACGTGGAGACGGGCAAGCAGGAGCAGATCCTGGTGTACGAGTTTGTGGGCAACCGGGACCTGGAGTACCATATCTACAAGACAAAGAGTGAGCTCTGATAGCTTATCAAAATGGTTGCCGGGAAAGTGCTGTCCGCCTGAGAACATGACACCGCTAATTCACGAAGATTTATTATGCTCGGCTTTCATCATCTCCCATCCAGACCCGCTCTCGCTGCGCCAGAGGTTGCGCCTGGCACAGGGAGCAGCAGAGGGCCTGGCGTATCTGCATGGGTTTGAGACACCCATCATTCACCGCGACATCAAGCCAGCCAACATCCTTGTGACTGCCGACTTTCAAGCCAAGGTGGCTGACTTTGGGCTGCTGAAGCTTCTCACTCATGGCGAATCTGACGCCACCCGAGTGGCTGGCACTCCGGGCTACGTGGACCCAGATTACAACCAAACCAGCATCATCACTGCCAAGAGTGATGTGAACAGGTTCGCATGCTTGTTCTTTTGTACATCACAATGAAGACATCGATACTTTCTCTATCCTGATTTCAAGTTACTTTCTTGTACTATGCATCACAATTGTCAGGCATATTCCTCTTTGTCCAATTCCGTGGCTGCTTGCAGCTTTGGCGTCGTGCTTATGGAGTTGCTCAGTGGAATGTCACCTCAAGACACCAATGAAGCTCACATCAGAGAATGGGTATGTTCATCACCATCAAAGCTGTCTCTCACGTCGTTCTTCTATGCCTGCACACTGATCATAGTTTCGTGCTGAAAACCGCTGTCATTGCCCGTTGACATGCTCCTTTGTCGCCCAGGCAAGAAAGAAGATGGAGACGTTTCATCTGGACGACCTCAAGGACAGCAGGATGCCGGAGGTGGGCAAGGAGGCCATAGTGGACATTGCAGACCTTGCTCTGGACTGCATGAAGTCCCCTGGCACACGGCGGCCCAGCATGAAGGACGTGGCATACCGCCTCACTGCCCTCATTGAGAAGCACTGCCCTGAGAAGGAGGACAATTTGGAGGGTACGGGGAAAGAAGAGAGTGCAAGCATTGGAGGTCTGCCGTCGAGGAACATTTCTTCTGTGCTGTTTGGAGATGGTGGGAGGGAGTCTCAGAGGTCTACTGGCTCGCGTCCTAGTGCGATCTCATCCATGAGCATTGGCTCAATGGCTGATGGCGTCAGGAGCTGGCTGCATCCGAAGCCCACGGGGGGTTACTGAACAGGCACATGATGGCTATATTTTGTTTCTTGCGATAACAGTAAGACTGAAGGTTCTGGGGCAAGGTTGTAAATTTGTCAGTGTGCTGTTTTCTTTGTGGGCGGTTGAGGTGATGATGCACATTCGGTAGGTTGAGTGGTGATTGCTGCGTATATGTGAATACTGTTGTGCCTCACTGCTAAAAAAACTCAAGCTCTGATACAGTATCACTTCACATGCGACCAGCTGGTGCTAAAAGCATTCATCCAACCCCCACTGGGGGGCCCCCAGTCAGCATCATGAAGAACATGTGTACCGTACATGGGGGATGCAATGTCCACATGCTGTGTGGGGTTAGTGCACTGTTGTGAGGGTTAACCGGGCATTGCAAGCGTGAGTAACTGGTATTCACTTGCTCTCATACTTCCCACCTATCTTTCATTCCTCTCAACTTTTGCATTGACCTTCCATTATCTCCCTCTCATCTCATTCCACATGTCATACTTCACCATCTCCGTGCCCTGCCATGATCAGGAATACAGTATTGACGAACTCTTTGTAAAACTGCTCCATACGATACGAAGCAGCAACTCGTAGTCATTTAATTCAGTCAACCCACACTGTACTATTATTTAGGTCTATGGCTATCCTGGCATCAGCGCTAATTACACCTTCTCGCGCGTGCTCGGCATCCATATGGGCGCACCCTCCTCCCCTGTCATTATCAACATCCCTTTTTCAAGCACTTTCCCGCTTCTCCCTTAGCTACTCCACCATCTTTCAACCCATCAGCACATTTTGAGCCCTTGCATTTTCAACTTGCACACCCCCAATGACAGCAGTTCCTCCCTCAACATGCAGACTAGTGGCTTGATTGACAAGCCTCTGTTAAGGTGTCTGTCAAACATAGTAGATTAGGAACCTTAGGGTTGTGGGATGTGAGAGGGAGTTGGCCAACCAAAAGAGAGGTTTGACTACAGAGAGAGATACAAGATATAGGGCAAGGGGAGGTGGGCAAGGGGGGTATACCACCAACAATGGAAGAGATACTACACTAGCTAGGCTAATATGCAGTTATATATAGAAATACAATTTCTGACAGTGTCCTCTTCCTCGTCCCTCTTCAGTTCTCCTCGTTCTCATCCTTGGCATGTGTCCGTAGGACTTATAATTGAAAACGCAAAATGCGTACTCAGCTTCCTCCTCTTCTGATCCTGGCTCTTCAGCGACCCACGCCATCATAACTCTTTGAAGATCCTCACTATTTTCTGCCTTGTGTAGCTGCAGCTGAAGCTTTCTCAGCTACTGCTCCAGAAATTGCACCCTCCCGAACTTCCCTTTCTCTCCCTCCCCCCTCCTTGGTATTGTCAACGGGAGTTGTTGTTGGCCCCGTCCTCGCTTGGGCGGAGCCGACTTCAGAGTCGGGTGTACGGGGGTGTGCAGCCGATTGGCAGCAGCGGGCGAGCTGGTCGACGAGGCTGGTCGACTAGCACGGGGCTGCTGGGGTGATGACTTTGAGAGGGCGCCGACTTTGTTGGTCGACCTGGAGTTGGTCGACCAGGGGAGTGGTTGACCTTAGTGGTCGATAGGAGGTGGTCGTCGACCTGGGCGGTCGACGGACCCGAGAAGATGCACCTGGGCGACGGGGCCTGCGAGGTGCGCGACAGTCGTCTAGATAGATTGGCGAAGACGACCTGCGGTTCGATGGCACGTGGTCGATGTGGCCCCACGGTTGCAACCGTTGACATGTGGTCGACCTGGCACCTGCGCAATGTGTGTGGCGGTGCACGTCGTGCTCAACCGTCACTTGGCACCTGCGAAGTAGGTACGCGCACATGCGCACATGGAGGCCTTGTGCTGGTGTTCTGGCACGCCAACCTTGCAGATCGCCTGAGGATGCCTGAGGTCGTCTGAAGTCGCCCAGGTGGCAAGTCGTAATCGTACTGTGCTGGTGGTCGACTTGGCTGTGGGCTAGGCTCCTAGGCTCCTAGTGTAGTATTTCTTGCCAATCTGATTGATATCATTGTTGTAAACCTTTCTTAGTGGAACTCTTGCAAATTTTCCCCGTGTACCAGCAAGTTGTGTGCGCACTAAGGAAACAATGAACGAACGCAGAGATCACTCACGCCCCGTGCCTAGCCCGTAGTCTAGCTCCCGTTGCAACTAGTTATCTCTGCATGGTGCGGTGAGCGTGGACGGCACCGCGGCTTACCTTCAGTCTAGGCGACTTAGTCTCCCCAACCTTCCTCTCCTCGACCGGTGAACGAAGGTGACGTCGACGTGGGCGTCAACGTCGGTAATGACCAAGTCGGCAGCAGTGCGGGAGGCATGACGTCCTTCGTCCCCACCTGATGGGTACGAAGGACGCCTTCGTCGACTTGGAGCCGAGCGGCAACGTCAAACACGTGCGCGGCTTCAATGGGGCATTGCAAGACGTCCAAGGCCGGGGCACTGTCGCCCTGCGCGGAGCAGCTGGGAAGCAGGTGCTCATCCCCGACGTGCTATACGTCCCGGGCGTGCGTGCGAACCTGCTGTATGCCAGCAAGCTGGAGCGGCGTGAAGATGACAGAGGACGGCGACGGGATGCTGCTCGTCTCGGCGGTGGGGGACGTACTTGGTCGGGCGACGTACACCGGGCGGGTTCTCTGCACGGACCTGCGCCCCTGCACGGCGAAGTCGACGTCGCCCACGACGGAGGTGGTGGCGCTGCGGGCGAAGCTGGCGCGGCACACGTTCCCCGACCAGGGCTCCGACGCCGACGACTTGCTGTCCGTCGTCCACATCGACCTGTTCGGGCCGTTTCGTGTGGCTGCCAAGGATGGCAGCCTGTACTTCTTGCTGCTGAAGGACCGCAAGTCCCGCTACGTGTGGGTGAAGCCGGTCGCCAAGAAGTCGGACGTGCTACAGGAGTTCGTGCAGTGGCTGGCGGTGGCTGAGCAGCAGACGAAGAAGTCGGTGTTGATGCTGCATTCTGACCGGGGCGGGGAGTTCCTCGAGAAGCACTTCACCGACTGACGGCAAGGGGATCGTCCACGACCTGACCTGCGCGTACACCCCACAGCAGAATGGCATGGCGGAGCGGGAGACGCGGACGGTGGTGGAGTCGGTGCGGACGATGCTGCTGCACATGGGCGTGCAGCACCACTTGTGGCACCTTGCTCTGCGGCAGGCCGTCTGGGTACGCAACTGCTTTGAGCGGTCGACGCTGCCGCCGGGGACGACGCCGTACCAGCTGCTCACCGGGAAGAAGCCCGACTTGTCGATGGCGTGCGTGCGGGGCTGCATGGGACAGTTCCTGGTCCCCGAGTAGCAGCGTGGTGGGAAGCTGAAGCCGAAGGCCAGGTGGGGCCTTCATCTCGGTGTGTCGGAGGAGAGCAAAGGCTGGGAGCTCCTAGACATCGCCAACAACCGGGTGGTCACCACGTCTGACGTGGTTTTCTACGAGTCCATGTCGCTGGAGGTGTGGAAGTCGGCGCATGGGCCGGCATCGGGGCGGACGCAGGTCAACCCGCCGACGGACACCACAGCGGCGACGCTCCCACTACTCGCCGAGGTCGGTGAGCTGGCTGTTGGGGACGACGAGGCCGTCCGCCCTTCCTCCCCTTCCCCTGCCCCTCCTGCCCCTCCCCTTGTAGCCGATCTGCGTGGGCTATCTCCGGTGTCGGCCTCCAGCGATAAGGGGAGCAGTGGGGCGTCGCCTGTGGCGCTGGCCAAGAGCATCGTCGGAGGCCGACGTGACGTCCAGCAAGTCGCCCTGGGAATGAAGTCGACGCCGACAGGGGGGCAGCCGGAAAAGTAGCAGGCCGAGGAAGTGCAGCCGACCTTGGTGAGGCCGGCGAAGGAGGCATCTGCAGCCGACAGGGGAGCAGGCAGCAGCGAAGCCGACCAAGGGGCAGTCGGCGACCGGGCAGTCGGCAGGGGAGCCGACCGCAGGGGAGAAGTCAGCATGGATGCCGACTGTGGTACAGCAGGACGATGAAGGCAGTGAAGCCGGTGACGCCGAGGAGTCCACCGACAGCGACGTAGTGGAGGTCCAGCCTGGACCACGGCAGTTAGGCCGAGTTTGGAGACCGCGCGACTTCTATGTACTGGCTGCCTTCACCACGGCGTACGACGAAGTCGACGACGACCTGCTGTACGACGACGCCGAGGAGGATGAAGAGCTGCCGGAGCTCGACCCCGACATGCACGCCGACCCCGAGCACCGTTGGGACATCTCCACTTCGGAGATAACTACTACAATGGGAGCTAGACTACGGGCTAGGCACGGGTGCTCGTGTGATCTCTGCGTTCGTTGGTCCTTCGTCGTTTTCCTAGTGCGCACACTGCTTGCTAGTTCACGGGGCAATTTGGCAAGAGTTTCACTAGAGAAAGTTGACAACAATGGTACACTCAAGTTGGCATGGCAAGACTACATCAGAGCTAGGATGCAAGCCAGTCGACTGCCAGCGCAGCATGGTCGACCGCGTGCCAGCACGACTTGGTCGACCGCGCTCCAGCCGTGCAAAGTCGACGGTGCGCCAACGTCGCAGGTTGACGGGCGCCAACGTTGCAGGTTGACGGCGTGCCAACGTTGCTCCCGCAGAACAGCAGCGCACCAGCTTTGCAGGTGCTCGCAGGTGATTGGCGTGCTGAGCCTCGTCACCTGCACAACGCACACACCAAGTTATCCTCGTGCTGACGACTCCACCTGATCCGCCACGTCGACCTCGGGATACCACCACCGAGGTCGGACTCGCCAACTTCGCCTGGGCGACCGTCGCACTCCTCCGCAGAACCTCGTCACCCAGGTAACCTGGTCAACCGGGCAACCACGTCGACCTGCTCTCGTACGTGCCCGTCGACCTCCCAAGTCGACGACCACCTCATGTCGACCTCACCAGGTCGACCACACCCTTGGTCGACCAGCTCCAGGTCGGCGTCACTCCTGGTCGACAAGCTCCACGTCGACCAGCGCAGTTGTCGGCCGACCGCCCAAGTCGGCTACCCGTAGTCGGCGTCACCAAGTTGACGCCCGGCTACTCGATGCCCAACTGCTCGGCGTTCTGAGTCAAGGTCGACGTCGGCCCCTCCTTCGTCGACCACCAGGTCAGGTCGACCACCAGCAAGTCGACCAGCAGGCCTGGTCGACCAACCACAAGGTCGACCAGCAGTCCTATCAGCCGACCACCAAAGTCGGCTGTCCCCAAGTTGGCGTCACCAAGTTGACGCCCTCCGCAGGTCGACTTCCCTAGGTCGACCTCCCTGAAGTCGGCGCCACCCTGAAGTCGGCGCCCGTGCAGTAGCCCCCGTGCAGGTCGACCTCCTCGTCAACCAGCTCGCCCACTGCTGCAGGTCGGCTGCTCCCCTCACACCCGACCACGAAGTCGGCTCCGCCCAAGCGAGGACGGGGCCAACACACAACTCCCGTTGACACTCCCTTGCCGCGTTGACGCTTGGGCCCCCAGCCCACACGGCAGTACACCTCGGAGAATAGCTCATCGACGTGCACCCAACACACAGCACGTCGTCCACCGCACCAGCCATGCAAGAGGGCATGACACCTACTGCTGCACGTCGTCATCTTCGTCGCCCACGTCGGCCAAGCGCACCTGGCCGATGGCGACGGAGCACCGGTTGAAGGCCGGATTGTGCAGCGCCTTCGTCAAGAAGTCGGCCGGCTGCTCAGCGGTCGGGATGTACTTCAGCGAAAACTTCCCGCGCCTCACCATGTGCTGCAGCCAGGCCTGTCGCCGCTCCATGTGCTTGAGGTTGCCTGTCAACCCCATGCCCTCGGCAACCGTGATGGCCGACTTGTTGTCCACTCGGAGGACAGTCGGCTTCCCAGCATCCAGCTGCTGGAACTCTGCGAGGAGGAAGCGATGTCGGCGTCCCTCCTTGCCGACTTCCGTGGCCGCCACGTACTCCGACTCGGTCGACGACATCGTCGCGCACTTGATGCGCTGGCTCGACCAGGAGACGACGGCCCCTCCGTAGACGAACACGTAGCCGCCCGTGCTCGTCCTGTTCTGCTTGTCACCAGCGTCGTCGGCATCCACGTAGCCGACCAGCTCCAGCGACTCAGGTCCACCGCCGAACTCCAGGGCGGTGTCACGCGTGTTGGCGAGGTAGGCGAGGCAGCGGTCGACCTCGCGCCAGTGCTAGTCGCTCCTCACCGTGAGGCCGCTCCCCAGCTTGCTGCAGGCGAAGGCGATGTCCGGCCTCGTCGTCGTCGCCGCGAACTGCAGCGAGCCGACCTTCTGCCGATACTCCTCCTCCTGTCGCTCCTGTGCCTCCTCGTCGTCGAAGGTGAGCTCGGCGTAGGCGTCGACCGAGACCGGCGTCTTCGGGGTACGCCCGGTCTGCTCCTCGTCGATGAAGCGCCTACGCAGCTTGTCGGCGTAGCCCTGCTGGTGTAGCCACAGCTTCCCCGCCGACCTGTCACGGACAATCTCCAGCCCGAGGTACTTCTGCACCGGCGAGATCTCACGCAGCTCGAAGGCGGACTCCAGCAGCTCCTTCAACTCCTTCAGCATCTTGGTGCTGCTGCTGGCGGTGAGCAGGTCGTCGACGTAGACCAGCACCCAGCAGGCCACCCCGTCGTCGCCGACCGTGAAGTAAAGAGCCTCGTCGACCTGGCTCTTCTTCCACCCTGCGCCAACCAGCACGTCGTTGAGCGCCAAGTACCACAGCAGCGGCGACTGCTTCAGCCCGTACAGGCTCTTCAGCAGCTTGCACACCCGGCCAGTTCCGTCGTTGAAGTAGTCCGGCTGGGACATGTACAGCACCCGGTCGAGCTTGCTCTGCAGGAAGGCGTTCTTCATGTCGAGCTGCATCAGGTTGAGGTTGAGGACGGCGACGATGCTGAGGAAAATCCTCAGCGTGACGTAGCTGCCCACTGGCGAGAACGTCTCGTCGTAGTCGGCGCCATACACCTGGGTGAAGCCCTTCACGACCAGCCTCGCCTTCTCGCGCTCGACGGTGTCGTCGACGCGGTACTTCGTCGTCAGCACCCACCGGTTCTTCATGATGTTCACTCCCGGTGGGCGCTCGACCAGCTCCCACGTCCCCATGACGATGAGACTGCGGATCTCCTCCTCCATGGCGGCCTTCACCGCCGGGCCCTTCCAGCTCGCCAACGCCTCCTTCGCCGTCATCGTCGAGATGTCCCAATGGTGCTCGGGGTCGGCATGCATGTCGGGGTCGAGCTCCGGAAACTCCTCATCTTCCTCGGCGTCGTCATACGCCCGGTCGTCGTCGTCCACGTCGTACACCGTGGTGAAGGCAGCGGGGACGAAGAAGTCGGGTGGTCTCCGAATTCGGCCTGACTTCCGAGGTTCCAGCGAAACCTCCACCACGTCGCTCTGGGTGGACTCCTCGGCGTCCTCCCCTTCGTCGCCCTGCTGCAGATCAGTCGACTTCCTGGCCGACCTCTCCCCTGTGGTTGGCTCCCCTGCCGACAGTCCGGTTGCCGACTGCTCCGTGGTCGGCTTCACTGCTGCCTGCTCCCCTGTCGGCTGCTTCTCCTCGACTTGCTCCTCCCCTATCAGGTCGACTTGCCGCTCATCACGTCGGCCACCGGCGATGCCCTTGGTCGGCGCCGAAGGCAACGGCCCACTACTCCCCTCATCGCCGGAGGCCAACACCGAGGCCAGCCCGCGCAGGTCGGCCAGGAGCGGAGGGGCAGGGGTCGTAGAGGGAGGGGTAGGAGGGCGGACGTCCTCGACGTCCTCAGCAGCAAGCTCGCCGACCTCGGCGAGCAGAGGCAGCGTCGCCGACGAGGTGTCGGTTGGCGGGGCGGACGGTGTTCGGCCGGGCACCGACCCGTGCTCCGACTTCCACTCGGCCAGCGACATCTCCTCGTAGAACACCACGTCCGACGTGGTGACCACCAGGTTGGCGTCAACATCGAGGAGCTCCCAGCCCTTGCTCTCCGTCGACACGCCAAGGTGAAGGCCCCACCTGGCCTTCGGCTTCAGCTTCCCACCACGCTGCTGCTCGGGGACAAGGAACTGCGCCATGCAGCCCCACACCCGTGCCAGCGACAAGTCGGGCTTCGTCTCGGTGAGGAGCTGGTACGGCGTCGTCCCCGGCGGCAGCGTCGACCGCTCAAGGCAGTTGCGGACCCAGACGGCCTGTCACAGAGCGAGGTGCCACCAGTGATGCTGCACGCCCATGTGCAGCAGCATTGTGCGTACCGACTCCACCACCGTCCTCATCTCCCGCTCCGCCATGCCGTTCTGCTGCGGGGTGTACTGACAGGTAAGGTCGTGGACGATCCCCTTGCCGTCCACGAAGTCGGTGAACTGCTTCCCGAGGAACTCCCCTCCTCGGTCGGAGCGAGGCATCAGCACCGACTTCTTCGTGTGCCTCTCCACCAACACCAGCCACTTCTGGAACTCCAGCAACACATCCGACTTCTTGGCGACCGGCCTCACCCACACGTAGCGGGTCTTGCGGTCCTTGAGCAGCAAGAAGTACAAGCTGCCGTCCTTGGCAGCCACGCGGAACGGCCCGCACAGGTCGATGTGCACGACGGCCAGCACGTCGTCGGCGTCGGAGCCTCGGTCGGGGAAGGTGTGCCGTGCCAACTTCCCGCCGACGCACGAGACACACGGTGAGTCGGCGCCCGTTGCCCACTTGAGGTCCAGCCCAGTAGCGACCTCGTGCTTCGCCGAGCTCCGTATGGTGTCCATGCCGACGTGCGCAAGCCTCGCATGCATCCTGTCCGGCGTCGACTTCGTCTTCGAGACGATCGCCCGCAGGGCCACAACCTCCGGCGTGGGCGATGTCGGCCTCGTTGAGCAGGGACGCAGGTCGGTGCAGAGGACACGCCCGGAGTACGTCGCCCGACCGAGCACCTCTCCTCCTGCCGAGACGAGCAGCATCCCGTCGCCGTCCTCTTGCAGCTTCACGCCGTGCTCCTTCAGTTGGTTGGACGACAGCAGGTTGGCCCGCACACCCGGGACAAACAACACGTCGGGGATGAGCACCTGCTTCCCGTCCTCCCCTTGCAGGGCGACGGTGCCTCGGCCCTGGACATCCTGCAGCGCCCCATTGAAGTCGCGCACGTGCTTGATGGAGCCGCTCGGCTGCAGGTCGACGAAGACTTCCTTCGTCCCCATCAGGTGGTGGGAGCAGCCGCTGTCGAGCAGGACCACTGCCGGGTTCGCCTGCACAGCTGCCGCCACCGCCTGGAAGTCTTCTCCGGCCTCCGGCGCCAGCGAGACGGTCGGCTCCACGACGCCGACCAGCGAGCACGACGCCGTCTTGTCGTCCCGCGCCTTACCGCCAGCAGAGGAGTCGGCGTCCTTCGCCGAGGTCGACGTGGTCGACTGCTTCTCCTTGCGCGGCTTGTTTCCTCCACGACGAGGACGACGGCTGCCAGACCTCCCACGGCCTCCCTTGGCGTCGTCGTCGTCGGAGTCACTGCCGTCGGGGCACTCGAAGGAGAGGTGGTCGGGGTCGCCGCACAGCCAGCACTCCCGACGTCGACCTCCTCCTCCTCGACCGATGTCCTTGGTCGACTTCTTCTTGTCGACCTCCTTGGCCGGCTTCCAGCCACTGCTACCACCGCCGCCAGACTGTCCGCGCTGCCCCGGTCGTCCTCCTTGCTTCTGCGCCAAGAGCTCATGGGACCGCGCTGCCTCCTGCATCGCCTCATCCTGCAGGATGTACGAGGTCAAGTTGTCCTTGTTGAGCGTCGTCCTCGTGCTCGGCGCCATCGACAGCCGCTTCAGAAGGTTGTAGCTGCTCGAGAGTCCCTGCATGACGTGGGTGACGTACGACGCCGTCGAGTACTGCGCGCCGGCCATCCTGATGGTGGCGTCATCGGTTGCACTTCAGCCCGTCCGTCGTAATAGGCAACGTGACATCCGCGACATGACGGATGATGTTGCCCGCGGACGTCTAGATTACTTGTGGTGTGCGGCTATGGCAGATAATGATCTCGCGTTCAACGTGTCTCATTCAAAATCGTTCCAGGCGTTTGTGGACGCGGCCGTCAACTTCGCGAAGCCATACACTCTTCCCACACCCTACCGAGGCTCGGGCCCGCTGCTTGCCAAACTCAGGGCTGATACGGAAGCCCTCGTTCAGCCGCTCAAGGACTCTTGGAACATGAGCGGGTGCTCCCTCTCGGTGGACGGGTGGACGTGCATCAAGTCACGAGGCATGGTGTGCGTCATCGCGCTTAACGACACGGCACCCGTCATTGTTGAGGTCGTGGACTCTAAGACTGCAAAAAAGACTGGAGCGTACCTGGCGGGACTTATTGGCGATGCGATCCGCTCTGTGGGAGGCCATCACGTCGTCCAAGTCGTGATGGACAACGCGTCCAACAACAAGCGTGCGGCCGAGTTGCTGAAACCCGAAGTTCCCCATGTGTTCTTCACGAATTGCGCCGCGCATGTGTTGGACCTCATGTTGCACGACTTCGGGAAGGTTCGGGCGGTGAGACGCGTTCTAGCCCAAGTACACCGCGTGGTTATGATGGTGAAGGGCAGCGCCTCCGCGGTTGTGCTTTTCCGCACACTCTTCACGAAGTTGTCGTTGGTCCGGCCCGGTGCAACGCGTTTTGGGACCCAAGTGATCATGGTCGGCCGCTTCTTGGAAGTGAAGAGGGCGCTTAAGGCGATGGTGATTAGCGAGGAGTGGGAGCAGGTGGCGGTGGCACGGTCGAAAGAGGGGCAAGCGGTCCGCACGCTCCTACTTGATGATGTGTTTTGGGAGCTCGTTGTCGCAGTCCAGCGCCTCATGACTCCGGTCTATGAGGTGCTTCGGGCTGTTGACAAACGCTCTCTACTCATGGGGCAGATATATGGCCTCATGTTAGAGGCCACTGTCAAAACGAACGAGGCTGCAGAGGCGGCAGGTAAGCGACTTACACATGTTGGTACCCTCCCTACATAGTGTTTCCCGTCCCATCCGAGGCACTGACTTGTTCGTTGGTTCTCTGTCCACTCCACAGCGGGACTATTCGTCAAGCGCACCGGCCTTCTCGCGACAAAGGACAGGCCGTCCTTCTTGGCAACCATCAAGGCAATCGTGGCCAAGAGATGGGACGGCCAGCTACACAACCCGTTGCATGCTTTGGGGTGGCTCCTCAACCCCCGAAACCAGTATCAGAATGCGGTGCGAAACGACAAAGAGGTGATGGCAGGGGCGGATGCGGTCATCCAAGCCCGTGGTGGGGACGTGGCTAAGCGCGCATTGCTGTGCGCTCAGCTGGCCCAGTTCCACAAAGGAGAGGGGCGGCTTGGATCACACGACGCTCGTTGGGCGGCCTCGACGTTGGTGGAGGGTGGGCGCTTGACGGATGCCGAATGGTGGTGGATGTATGGAGGGGAGGTCCAAGCGCTACAGGAGCTGGCTGTGATGACCCTATCACAGCCAGTCACCTCGTCTGAGGTGGAACGCTACTGGTCCGCCCTTGCTCGTGTGCAGAGGCGGGACCGGAACCGCCTGGCCGCCACAAAGATGACTGACGTCACCTTTGTGGCGTTCACCAGGCGGGCACGTGAGGCTTTCGATTGCAGGCAGGTTGTGCGTGAGAACCTGTATCGTGACCTGAGCAATGGCACACTCAAGGACGGCTGCCCCGTTCCCCCGGTCGCGCCAGAAGTTGAGGAAGAGGGGGCTGAAGTAGTGGAGGGAGAGGAGGAAGAGTGTACCACCACCATTAACTGGGCGGAGTTCGGTAGCGTTGGGAAGAAGAGCAGGAAGAGGAAGGCGGGTCCGGGAGAGTCCTCCAAGAGGAAGAGGAAGGGGAAGGGGAAGGGGAAGGGCAAGGGCAAGGGCAAAGTTTCAGGCAGGGTTGTGAGGAAGGGAAAAGCTGCAGAGTGGGGGGAGGAGGAGGAGGAGGAGGAGGAGGATGACGAGAAAGAGGAGGAGGAGGAGGAGGAGGAGGAGGAGGAGGAGGAGGAGGAGGAGGAGGAGGAGGAGGAGGAGGAGGAGGAGGGGGAGGAGGAGGAGGCGGAGGAGGATGAGGAGGAGGAGGCTCTGGCGGTGGACAGCAGTGGGCGTGAGGAGGCGGCACCCGCCAAGAACCAAAGGGGCATTGATCCGTGGGATATCAGCGATGGTGATAGTGGGGAGGAGGAAGAGGATGAGGAGGATGACGAGGAGGAGGAAGAAGAGGATCATCAGTAGGGTATAGTGTAGTGGGGGGTAGAGAGGGAATAAGGGGTATAGTGGCGGAGAAGAGGAGGAGGGGAGGAGGATAGAGTGGGGGAAAGGATGGGTTGGGGAGTAAATTAATAGTTAGTAAGGGTAGTAGGCCATTGTAGGCTTGTTTGTCAGTCGGTCCTTGTCATTCTAGGTCGTGTTCTATAAAATGTTGGGAAAAAAAAAAACACACAAAAAGTCCAATAAAAAACGGCCGTGTTTCTGCCACACTGACCGTAAAAAACGATGGTAAAGAACGGCCCGTTTTTTACTATGACCGTCATTTTGATCCTTGGTTTATGGGGCAATTCCCGAACACCAAACATGTTTGGGAACTGTTCCCGCTTTTCCGAACATTAGATGTTCGGAAACAACAAGCGCAACATTTGTCGCGCTGGTTGGAGGGTATGTCCTACGGAAAGCATAGATCGAGGTCATTTCGACCTCGATCTACTTTTTATGGTTAAGTTCAGAAGAGTAAGGATTAGTAGGCTTATTTCCTCCCCATTTCCACCCATCTTAACGGTTACTCAAGGTAGGTTAATTAGTCATTAGTTAGTCGCTTTTTAAAGTAGCTTACATTTTTAACAGTATGATCTGTTAACGACTTCAGACCTAGCCTCCGCCAACGTCCTAGCCCATTTCCACCCAATCTGCTAAGTGAGGGAATTTGCTAAGTCTTTATATTCGGACACCAAACATGTTCGGAAATTTTGAACATGTACATGTTCGGCGAACAGTTACCATGTTCCCCCACACTAACCAAACACCGAACATACAAAATGAGAAAATAATGTTCGGCCGAACCGAACATGTTCGGTTCGGTCAAAAAGATGTTCGGTGACGTTCGGGCGAACACGTTTGGTGTTCGCCAGTTGCTCATGCCTAAACCCAACCCATTGGGCCATAGGTTGCCCCACGTTTCCAAGTGTGGTCAACCCAACCCATTGGGCCATTGGTTGTCTCACTTCCCCAAGTTCCACCTCCCTCCCTTTCCCTTCCAAGCTTCCCAGCTATGTATGCTTGCTTCTTATCTAATGAAACCATTGGTTCAATTTCAACTTTTCACAATAATATCGTACACATCGGCTTGATACAGTTCCACAGGTGGCGCTTTTTGTTTGGTAAAACAACAAACAAACAAACAAAAAACGCAACAAAAACGCTATCTATGTATGGTCGTTGTTTTAAAACCAGGGAGGTTACCAACTCAACATGAGCAAATGGCAAACTCAAGCATGTTTCAGGTCGACATTATGAAGCAGTCGAGTCGAACAGTTGCCAAGATTGGGTTGGGTTGTTAAACTGTTACACTGTAATTTCGGTGTGTGTGTGAGTTGTTGTGTGTCTGTGTCTGTGTCTGTGTGTCTGTATTGATACGCTTTTTTACCCGTAACAATTGGATTGTATTCTGACGGAAATCGTGTTTTTGAACCCTGCTCTTCACCCTGTTGCTCGTCGTGCCACCTTCGGCACATTTTTTCCCTGCCTGCTCTGTCAGCTGGCTGGACAACAACAACATCGAAGGCCCTCTGCCAGCTAGCCTGTGCTCGCTTCCCTGGCTCTGGCGAATGTGAGTCGTTGTGGTGCGCTTATTCGAGTATATGTCATATTGGAATGAGAAATTTTACTGCAAAAGTTGAGAGACTACTTCAAAGTTGGATGATTCATACATACTGCACTCATGATTTTGTTTGTAAGGAAGTAAGGAAACTAGCCTTATCTCTGTGCCTATGCTGTTCGGTCAGGGTGTGACTAATGCTGTAGTTTCGTGTGTGTTTCATTGTTGGCAGCATGATGAGCAACAACTACCTCTACGGGCCCCTGCCAGACTGCCTCTTTGACAAGTGTCAACCAGATGTGAGCATCTTCTTTGTAAACAGCTCGCACCCTCAAAATGGTCGCCACAGGGAGTGACCGGAGACATGAGTTCCCTGAAACAGAGTAAATGGTGGTGGGACCACATCTCAAAACCTAAAACCTTCTTTTGCCCTGTGCTTCACCACAGCGATGTGAGCAACAACAGCTTGTACGGGCGTGTCAACCGCAATTTCAAGAACATGGTGGCAGATGAGGGTGCCCTCATCAACTTGGCTCACAACTTCTTCTTCGGTGATGCCGTGCTCTTTGCTGCCGGCTGCCAGGTCTGCCCCACCGAGATCACCGAGCCCAACCAGCTGGAGATGGGGGATACCAGTTCCAGCGAAGGGGTTGGGAAGTGCATTACTGGCGTTGGTCTCTTGAGAGATTACTCAGTTGCTGGGGCAGGCAAGGGTGCAAGGGTGAGTCTGGCGGGCAACTGCCTGACGCTCAGCCCGGACGCGGAGTGCTCAGCCAACGCCACCCAGCGCAGCACGAGAGCCTGCCAGGCGTTCTGCAGCATCACGGACAACGGCCCGTGTGACGGACATGGGGAGTGCGTGCCGCCTGCCCCCGCCTCCCCCACCAACTTCACCTGCCTCTGTGACGCCGGCTACTCGACTCTTGACTCGGGCAACGGCTCTACCTGTGCCATTGTCAACTCCACCACCACCACCACCAATGGTGAGGCCTGCTTCAATCTGTTGCCCCATTTGAAGATGTTTCTTTGTTGCCCCATTTGAAGATGTTTCTTTGTTGCCCCATTTGAAGATGTTTCTTTGTTGCCCCACTTGAAGATGTTTCTTTGTTGCCCCATTTGAAGATGTTTCTTTGTTGCCCCATTTGAAGATGTTTCTTTGTTGCCCCATATCATGGAAGCATTCTTACCCAGAACACATCTCTCCCTTTATCACCCTCATCATTCACCTTTCCTTCCAAAATCCCTCATTCCCCATCCTCTCACTCACTTCGTAAGCCCCCCTCCCCCGTTTCCCCCCCCACCCCTCCCCCCATCCCTCGATCCGGTCCTCCCAATCCTCCTCTCTCCGTTTCCTGCCATGGCAGTGTCCTCCCTGTCCACGGGCGCCATAGTGGGCATTGCTGTGGGCTGCTTTGCTGGCTTCGCTCTGCTGGCTGCTGTGGTTGCATGGCTGCTCTGGCCCCGCGGACCAAGTGAGCCCCAACCCTTCTTCCATCCCATCTCCCCATTTCATGCACCTCCTTCCCAGCCTCCTCCTCTGCTCTCCTGCTCTGCCAGCCTCAATCTCGTGCACTGCATATCGGCCCCCATGCTCTTTCTAACAGTCTACACCCTTGGCCGGACTTCACATTGTTGACTTCTATAAACCATGTTTTCAACTTTTAACTCAACACAAATAATTCGCTGACTCAAATATGAACACTCATGAGTTTCCAACGTAGCTCCGATGTGGCATTCATGAGATTCATGCGAATTTACAGTTATGAAACGGATTTTACCGTCAGAAAACGGAGTTTAACATTATGTACCTGCGTCGAAATTATCACGCAAAGTAGTGTGACTTTTGCGCGAAGTTTTTGTTCCGTGAGTCAGCGCGGGATACAGATTTTTGACTGTAATCCCGGGCAAAATGAGAAATGAAGTAAATAATAGAACTCACAAAAGCAAGGACACACACAAAATAAAATGCGCACACACGAAATGAAAAAAATGAGATTCAGACGGCTGGTTGACGTGCAAAAAATATATTTGCACCCAGCACGCATCCGCTTCCCTGCTCAATCACCAATCATACAATGCAATATTGACACTCCACTGCCCCCATACTCTGTCAACATATCTACATCCATGCTTGCTCACTCCTCTCGGCTGGCTTTTTGTGTGGACAGAGAAGTGGGAGGGGCTGGATGTGTGTGAGCAGTTCTCGCTGCAGCAGATGGTGACGGCCACCAACAACTGGTCGGACGACAATGTGCTGGGCAAGGGTGGCTTTGGCATTGTCTACAAAGGCCACTCGCCACACGGCCAGCTGTGGGCCATCAAGCGCTCCAAAGTTATGACCAACGACTTTGAAACGGAGGTGAGGCATACCTCAGTGTACCAGCCTCTTCCATCCATGAGAAACACATGACTTCTCTTATGCAAACTTGCAAATTCGATGCTCACCATCCATGTGAATGTATCCGGATTGTGTGTTGCCTGCAGGTGCGAGCCATGGCGTCTCTCCACCACTCCCATCTCGTTCGCCTGCTGGGCTTCTGCCTGGATCAGAACGTGGAGACGGGCAAGCAGGAGCAGATCCTGGTGTACGAGTTTGTGGGCAACCGCGACCTCGAGTACCACATTTACAAAACAAAGAGTGAGTTTCTATAGCTTATCAAGATGGTGCTGGTCCATCGCTGTCTCTCTGAGAACATAACACCATCATGAAAGTACTTTCGTTTGAACTTATACTTTGGTAATGAGCTCAAGGCTCTTTAAGTACATCCGAAATGAGTAAGGAATGGGTGGGGAGGGAATCAAGGGCAAACACTAACACAATACTTATACGAGCATGTGCTTTCATGAACTCCCATCCAGATCCGCTCTCGCTGCGCCAGAGGTTGCGCCTAGCACAGGGAGCAGCAGAGGGCATGGCGTATCTGCATGGGTTTGAGACGCCCATCATTCACCGCGACATCAAGCCGGCCAACATCCTTGTGACTGCCGACTTTCAAGCCAAGGTGGCTGACTTTGGGCTGCTGAAGCTTCTCACTCATGGCGAATCTGACGCCACCCGAGTGGCTGGCACTCCGGGCTACGTGGACCCGGATTACAACCAAACCAGCATCATCACTGCCAAGAGTGATGTGAACAGGTCCGCATGCTTGTTCCTTTGTACATCACAACGAATGTATGAAGACGTTGATACTTCACTATCCTGATTTGCAGTTACTTTCCTGTACTATGCATAAAAGTTTTCAGCTGTATTCCCCTCCGTCCAATTTCGTGGTTGCTTGCAGCTTTGGTGTCGTGCTCATGGAGTTGCTCAGTGGAATGTCACCTCAATATACCAATGAATCTCACATGAGAGAATGGGTAAGTTCATCAATGTCAAAGCTGTCTCTGACCTCGTTCCCGCACACTGACTTCATATTCCGTGCTGACTTTTGCTGCCATTGCCTGTTGACATGCTCTTTTGTCTCCCAGGCAAGAAAGAAGATGGAGACGTTTCATCTGGACGACCTCAAGGACAGCAGGATGTCAGAACATTATATAGCTTATGCTGTTGTGTAGGCTATAGTGGGGTATCCCATAGGGGGTACAACCCAATTAGGGTTTCCTATATGTACTCACTTCATTCATAGTTCATTCATTCGCGTTCTCCTTCCCACATGGAATCAGAGCAGGTCCCCTCCTAGGGACTGTTTCTAGGGCCCACCGAAGCGCGCCCCGAGGCGCGCTTTCCTTTTTTTTTTAGCGACCCTCCGTGTCGCCCCTAGCGGCCCGTTGCGCCGCCCTTACCTACGCGAGCCCGCCACCCTTACGTCGCGGCCCAGCCGCCCTCACGTCGCGGCCCCGCCGCCCTCACCTACGCGGCCCCGCCGCCCTTAAGTCGCGGCCCCGCCGCCCTCACGTCGCGGCCCCGCCGCCCTCACCTACGCGGCCCCGCCGCCCATAAGTCGCGGCCCCGCCGCCCTCACGTCGCGGCCCCGCCGCCCTCACGTCGCGGCCCCACCGCCCTTGCCTACGCGGCCCCGCCGCCCTCACCTACGAGGCCCCGCCGCCCTCACGTCGCGGCCCCGCCGCCCTCACGTCGCGGCCTCGCCGCCCTTGCCTACGCGGCCCTGCCGCCCTCACCTTCGCGGCCCCGCCGCCCTCACGTCGCGGCCCCGCCGCCCTCACTTTGCGGCCCCGCTGCCCTCACCTACGCGGCCCCGCCGCCCCACTTCGCGGCCCCGCCGCCTACGGTACCGGCCCCGCCGCCTATCCTCACCGGCCCCGCCGCCTACGACCGCCGAGCCGCCCTGCCGCCGAGCCGCCCAGCAGCCGAGCCGCCCGGGAGCCGAGCCGCCCTGCCGCCGAGCCGCCCTGCCGCCGAGCCGCCCGGGAGCCGAGCCGCCGAGCCGCCCTGCCGCCGAGCCGCCCTGCCGCCGAGCCGCCCGGGAGCCGAGCCGCCCAGCAGCCGAGCCGCCGAGCCGCCCAGCCGCCGGGCCGCCCTACTGCCGAGCCGCCCGACCTGCCCTGCCTGGTGAGCACAGCACCACTGTTACTGCGTGCCCTTCCCCTACTGCTTGCACTACTACACTGTCGTCGTCATGGCTACCCCTAGTGTCCTCGCTTTTGACGCTGAGGGTCGAGCCATTGACTTTGAGGTCTGGGTCGACGACCTGCAGCTGTTCTTACAGTGCGATAGGGCGGACGGTCTTTCCCTCTTTGACCTCACCTCTGGCGCCTCTCCTGCCCCTGCTGCTGATGCTGACCCCACTGTTCGCTCTCAGTGGGCCACCCGCGATGCTGCTGCACGTCTTGCTGTGCGTCGCCACCTGCCTACCACTGAGCGCGCGCACTTTAGTCAGTACAAGAGTGCTCAGACCTTGTACGACGCTGTAGTTGCGCGCTACTCTTCCCCTGCCACTGCTGCCCTGAGCCGCCTCATGCTACCGTACCTCTTTCCTGACCTTGCTGCCTTTCCCACTGTCGCTGACCTCATTACGCACCTCCGCACTAGTGACACTCGCTACCGCGCCGCCCTTCCTGCTGAGTTCTGCGCCAAGAACCCCCCCCCCATGTACATCACTCTCTATTACATAGTCACACGCCTCCCTGACTCCCTTCGCGTAGTCAAGAACCACTTCCTCTCAGTCTGTCCCACCACTCTCACTGTCGACCTCCTCGAGAAGTCCCTCCTGGCGGCGGAGAAGAGCATCGTCGCTGTAGGAGCCTCTCGTGGTGACCCTCGCACCCCCATCTTTGAGGGGTGTTCTCCTTCCCCCCTGCTGCCCTCTGTTGCCTCTGCTGCTGCTGCCGACCTGCTTGGTCTTGAGTCGGTCTGCGCGGCGTCTGCCCCTAGCGGGAGACGCCGCCCTGGCAGGGGCAAGGGGGGCAAGGGCGCGGGTGGAACTGGCGGGGGCAGAGGAGGTGGCGGTGGAGGCGGCGGAGGGAGTGGGGGTGGCGGTGGGAGTGGTGGCGGGGGCGGTGGTGGCGGTGGCAGCAGCGGAGGAGGAGGCGGTGGTGGCGGCAGCGGTGGGAGCGGAGGCAGCGGTGGTGGTGGAGGTGGAGGCGGCGGTGGCGGAGGGGGTGGAGCTGGTCGGGGTGGTGCCCCGCAGCGTAGCGGCTCTGGTGGTGGCCAGCGTCAGCAGCAGCAGCAGCAGCAGCGTTCGCGGGACATCCCCCCGCCCCAGCAGCTCCGTGAGTGGTACACGCAGCGTCAGCGGGGTGGGGGTTTTGGTCCGTGCACCTACGTCCTTCGTTCCGGCGACCGCGCGGGTGAGCAGTGTGGGGGTGCCCACCCCACCCAGCGCTGCTTTGGCCGCCTGACGGACGCTTGGCGCCAGCAGTTCCCCGAGGCTAGTGAGATTCCCCGTTGGGGAGAGCTGTCTAGGGCTGGCGTAGCTATCTTTGATCTTGACTTTGATGCTATCCTTGCTGCCATGTATGCTGTGACTATTAGTGAGGAGGGTGACTGTTACCGGTGTTTCCCGCCCGACCCGGGCATTGGTACTGCTGCGCTAGGTACTTCTGCGGCTGCTGCTCTAGGTGCCAGTGCGTCTGCACTCTCAGGTACTGGTGAGGCTGCGCTCTCAGGTACTGCGTCGGCTTCGGCCTCCCTCACCTTCACGCTTGACTCAGGGGCTTCTCGCTCCTTCTTTCGAGACCGCACCACACTCACGCCGCTTGGCCGGCCGGTTGCAGTCTCCCTGGCTGACCCCTCTGGGGGTCCTGTCCTCTCTCACTTCTCCACTGTCCTCCCGTGTCCGGCTGCCCCCTCGGGCACCTTGTCTGGTCTGTACCTCCCCTCGTTCTCGACGAACTTGGTGAGTGGTGCTGACCTGCAGGATGCGGGGGTTCACCAGTTTACTCCTGCGAGTCAGCGGGTGACCCACTGCTCGGACGCCCGCACAGGCCGACACCTGGCCACGTTTTCGCGTCGGCTGGGGTCGAGTCTCTACACCCTGACCACTGAGTCTCCTCCTGTCCCTGCGTCTGGCCCGGTAGCTGCGTCGGGTCAGGTGTTTGCTGCTGCGTCCAGGTCTGGTCCTGAGTCTGCCCCCTGCTCGTGTCGCCGCCTGTCTCAGGAGACTCTCCTGTGGCACCACCGTCTTGGCCACCCCTCCTTGCCTCGTCTTCGGGGCATGGCTTCCCGTGTCCTTGTCTCTGGTCTTCCCCGGTCTCTCCCTCCCCTTCCTTCGGGACCCGGACCTTCCTGTGTCCCCTGTGTCGAGGGGCGGCTCCGGGCTGCCCCTCACTCCTCCCAGTTTCCCCCGACAGAGGCTCCTCTGCAGACGCTTCACATGGACGTGTGGGGCCCGGCCCGCGTCCGTGGGCAGGGTCACGAGCGCTACTTCCTGCTGGTGGTTGACGACTACTCGCGTTACACCACAGTCTTCCCCTTGCACAGCAAGGGTGATGTCACTGAGGTGTTGATCGACTGGATCCGCGCAGCTCGTCTCCAGCTCAGGAGGAGCTTCGGCTCGGACTTTCCTGTTCTGCGTCTGCACTCTGACCGAGGTGGAGAGTTCTCCTCTGGCCTTCTGCGAGCCTACTGTCGTGCACGAGGCATCCGCCAGACCTTTACGCTTCCGGACTCTCCACAGCAAAATGGGATTGCTGAGCGCCGCATTGGCATGGTCATGGACGTCGCTCGTACGTCCATGATGCATGCGGCTGCCCCCCATTTTCTGTGGCCGTTTGCGGTTCGGTACGCGGCGCATCAGATCAACCTTCACCCCAGGGTCTCCCGGCCGGAGACCTCCCCAGCTCTGCTGTGGACGGGGAAGGTCGGCGATGCGTCTGCGTTCCGTGTCTGGGGATCTCGGGCGTTTGTCCGCGACTTGTCTGCGGACAAGCTGTCCCCTCGTGCTGCTCCCTGTGTCTTCCTCGGCTTCCCCCCTGACGCCCCAGGGTGGCAGTTCTACCACCCCTCCTCTCGTCGTGATCTGTCCTCCCAGGACGTCACGTTCGACGAGTCAGTCCCCTTCTACCGCCTCTTCCCCTACCGCACTCCTTCCTCCCCCCGCCACCGCACTTCCTTGTGCCAGGTCCCCCCCCGGTAGACCCCCTTCCCCCTCAGGGTCCTGCCCCTTCAGGTGTGTCCCAGGTAGACGCAGTCGAGCCGGTCGAGGTTGCTGGTGACTCTGGTCCTGCTGCGGGTGCTGAGCCTGGGGGTGCTGACTCTGGGGGTGCTACGCGCGTGGGTGCTGAGCCTGGGGGTGCTGAGCCTGGGGGTGCTGAGTCTGGGGGTGCTGAGCCTGGGGGTACTGCGACTGGGGGTGCTGAGCCTGGGGGTGCGGAGTCTGGGGGTGCTGAGCCTGGGGGTGCTGCGACTGGGGGTGCTGAGCCAGGGGGTGCTGCGTCTGGAGCTGCTGAGCCTGGAGCTGCGGAGCCTGCGGCCACTGGACCTCCCCTTGTGGCGTCTGGCGGTGCGGGACCTGGCGGTTCTCCGGGTGCTTCGCCTCGGCGGGAGCCCCTCTCTCCACAGGAGCTGCGCGAGTGGTTTGCTCGCCGCTGGAGACGTACTGCTGGAGCTGGAGCTCCTTCGGCTGCTGAGGGTACTTGTGCCGCTGGTCCCGGAGCTGCTGGGCCCTCGGGTCCGCCTGGAGCTGGAGCTGCTGCGGGTGTTGGTGCTGAGACTGCTGCTGTCCTTCCTGGCGGTGGTCCTGCTGCGGGTGCTGCTGGTGCTGCTGGAGGTCCTGCCGCTGGAGGTGCTGTTGGCGCTGGTGCTGCTGCTGAGGGTGCTGTCCCTGCTGTGTCTGGAGTCGCCGCGCGGCCTCGGCCGTACTTCGTTCCACTACTACAGCAGGTTCTTGGTCTTTCTCCTCCTGCAGCGTGTCCACCGCCTGTTCAGTCACAGTCCCAGTTAGAGCCCGCCTCCCCACTTCCTGCTCCCTCTCCTTACACTGGTCCCACTGGAGGTCTTGCTGAGCGTCGTGAGCCTGCGTCTCGTCCTGCGTCGCCTGTTCGTGCTGCTCGCGCTAGTGGTCGCGGTTCGCGTCAGCGTCCTCCTCCTGTCCCTGGCACGCACCGGATGTCTTTGCGTCCGTCCACTGCTCCTCTGCGTGCCCCTTTGCCTTCTCCTCCTGAGTCCTCCCTTCCTGCACTTACCGACCCAGAGTCCGACTCTCTTCGTGCTGCTAGTCCTACTGTCACACGTCTCCTTGCTACTGTCGTCACTGACCCCTCTTTTGAGTCCACTGCTGCGTCTGCGCTTGTTGCTGAGCTCGTCGACTTTGCTGCTCGCTGTCGTCTAGACTACGCTGCCGGTCTTGTTGCTGAGTCTGCGTCTGTCTGTCCTCCGTCCGTCGGGGGTGAGTGTGCTCTTGGCACGGACGTCCTTGAGGACAGGCAGGAGGAGTTCCAGTGTCTGGCTGCTGCTTCACCTCATCTCGCGTCCGTACTACTTGCCCCTGAGGGAGACCCGGATGCACTAGACATCCCGACTCCGCGCTCTTATGCGGAGGCCGTAGAGGGTCCCTACTCCTCTCAGTGGCAGGCAGCTATGGATGCAGAGATGGCGTCCTGGAAGTCCACAGGCACCTACGTTGACGCGGTGCCCCCTCCTGGGGCGAACATCGTCAGTGGCATGTGGATTTTCAGGGTGAAGCGGCCGCCGGGCTCTCCACCTGTCTTCAAGGCGCGGTACGTCGCTCGTGGCTTCAGTCAGCGGCAGGGAGTTGACTACTTTCAGACCTTCTCTCCCACCCCGAAGATGACCACTCTTCGGGTGCTGCTGCACATAGCCGCTCAGCGCGACTACGAGCTCCACTCTCTTGACTTCAGCACTGCTTTCTTGCAGGGTAGCCTGCACGAGGAGATCTGGCTGCGCCGTCCACCTGGCTTCACTGGGACTTTCCCTCCTGGCACCCAGTGGAGCCTCCGACGGCCAGTCTACGGTCTCCGCCAGGCACCGCGTGAGTGGCACAACACACTGAGGACTACGCTTGCGGCTCTTGGGTTTGCTCCCTCTACTGCTGACCCGTCGTTGTTTCTGCGCACCGACACTTCTTTGCCGCCGTTCTACATCCTCGTGTACGTCGACGACTTGGTCTTTGCCACAGCTGACACTGCTGGACTAGCCTACGTGAAGTCCGAGCTGCAGAAGAGACACACGTGCACAGACCTGGGTGAACTGCGCAGCTACCTTGGCTTGCAGATCACTCGGGACAGAGCACGCCGCACCATTACCTTGACTCAGTCACACATGGTGCAGCAGGTCCTTCAGCGCTTCGGCTTCACGTACTCCTCGCCTCAGGCCACTCCTCTGTCTACTCGCCACTCGCTCTCAGCTCTGCCTTCGGATGAGTCCGTAGAGTCGAGTGGCCCGTACCCAGAGCTTGTTGGCTGCCTCATGTACCTGATGACCTGCACACGACCTGACCTTGCATACCCTCTTAGCATTCTTGCACGCTATGTTGCTCCTGGGAGACACCGACCAGAGCACATGGCTGCAGCGAAGAGGGTGTTGCGCTACTTGTGCAGTACGTCGGGCATGGGGCTAGTGCTTGGAGGGCGGAGTCTAGTGGTCCTCACTGGGCACGCGGACGCTTCTTGGGCTGACGACCAGGCTACGCAGCGGTCGTCGCAGGGTTACACCTTCAGTCTTGGTTCCGGCTCTGTCTCGTGGCGGGCTACTCGCTCGTCCTCTGTTCTCGGCTCCAGTTGTGAGGCTGAGATCTACGCCGGGGCCATGGCTGCACAGGAGCTTCGCTGGCTCACCTACCTGCTGACTGACCTTGGAGAGCAGCCTCGTTCTCCTCCAGTGCTGTACGTAGACAACAAGGCCATGCTGGCCTTGTGTCGAGAGCAGCGCTTGGAGCACAGAACGAAGCACATTGCTCTCCGTTACTTTCTTGCTCGTGAGCTGCAGCAGCGTGGTCAGTTGCGACTTGCGTACGTGGCCTCTGAGGCCAACACTGCTGATGTGTTCACCAAGGCACTTGCGCCTTGTGACCATCAGCGCTTCTGCACTCAGTTGGGTCTTGTACCTGTCTTGCCTCACTTGCTCTCCTCTTGACCTTGCTTGTACTGTCACATATATATACCTGCTCTTGCTTGTCTAGCTCTATATGTATATGTGTCCTCCTGCATGTGAACTGGCCTTGTGGCCTTGTCGTTGTGCTCGGACTGTGTGGTGACTTTGTGATCCACCCTGAGCTTGCTGTGTTTTGCGTGACTGGTCTTGTGACCCCTTGTTCTCCCCCACTTTGCCTATGGGGGTGTGTCAGAACATTATATAGCTTATGCTATTGTGTAGGCTATAGTGGGGTATCCCATAGGGGGTACAACCCAATTAGGGTTTCCTATATGTACTCACTTCATTCATAGTTCATTCATTCGCGTTCTCCTTCCCACACAGGATGCCGGAGGTGGGCGAGGAGGCCATAGTGGACATTGCAGACCTTGCTCTGGACTGCATGAAGTCGCCAGGCACACGGCGGCCCAGCATGCAGGACGTGGCAGACCGCCTCACTGCGCTCCTCGAGAAGCACTGCCCTGAGAAGGAGGACGATTCGGAGGGTACGGGGAAAGAAGAGGATGCAAGCAACGGGGGCGTGTCGTCAAGGAATGTCTCTTCTGTGATGTTTGGAGGTCTGTCATCGGATTCTCAGGGGTCTTTTGGCTCGCAAGCTAGAGGGATCTCCTCCGTGAGCATTGGCTCGAGCACTGGCGTCTGGAGCTGGCTGCATCCCAAGTCCAGCATGCGCAGCTGAATTGCCTAGGCATGGCACGTAATGAGTACCAGATTTTGGCTTGTTGCCGTGATAGTCCGAGTGCAAGTTTGAGGGCAGATGTGTTTCTTTTTTTTTTTAGGGTGGTTGTGGATCAGGCCAGGGACGACTTTAGTGAAATGCTTCGTCTGGCTTTAAGACCGGATTCTAGAGGCTTGTCTGAGCGTCAGACGAAATCTGAAGCTACCGGTATGTCTACGGAACCTTTTAAGGCCTTGTCTTATATAATTCAGACGAAATTTGAAGCCTAGTGTAAAAACACGTACGTATCTTTCCTGCCAGCGTTGGGAATTTGGCAACATGTGTGGGAGGCCACTGTGGGCTTGAGAGGAGAAGCTACGAGGGCGAGACGAGAGGCAAGAGGCGAGAGCTGTGGAGGAGATCAAAGGCTGGCTTGCTCAGGACGCACTGCACCTGCCGCGCAGTGGGAGTTGGTTCTGTTGGAATTCTGATAAGACCCTCTCCTTGTGTTTGATTTGAGCGCGAAGCGTTTAGAGGAGCAGCGTTAGCAAAAGAAGCGAAGCGGGGCTTGATCGGATACAAAATTTGGCGCCGCCCATGCCATGCCTTCAGCCCCTGGGCCCGCCTTTACCCCCTTGGCATGCGCATCCAAGCACCTCTCTCTCTCATGCTCACCGCCAGCCTTTCACTCACTACCTCTGAGTCTGCACTGGGCATTGTCCCCTTCACGCCGATTCAGAGCCTCATTGTGCCTCTGACTCTACTCCTCGTGGTTGTCCCCCACCCCGTCCCGTTACTGCTTGCTGGCACACGCTTGCGTGGCGCCAGCATGGGTTCACGCAGCAGCATCAATGCCATGAATACCAGTACGCCAGCCCGCCCCACCCCCACAGCCCACCAGCACTCTGTGCGGTTGTCCCCTCTCCCTGTGCCCCTTTCCCCTTTCCCTGGGCGCCCTTGGCCTAAGTGGGAGGGCGGCTGTCCTCTCGGCTCGAGCACTGCTCATGAGTGAGAGGGCGGCATCCTTGCTCCAGCAGGCGCCGCATCGCATCTCCAGCAGCAGCGACGCCATGGCCGTGGTGCGTTGCGTGCTGCATCGCATCTCCAGAACCTTCAAGAACTGCGCTGCACTCTCTGCCTCCAGTGAGTGAGACGCACCGCACTATGGGCCTCCTGCAAGTGTGCGCCCTGCCACAAGCACCACACGCACACCACACGCACTACACACGCACCAAACACACACACCACACATGCACCACACACGCACACACACACCGCACACGCACCACACAAACACACCGCCCGTGCACCACACACACACACCACACACACACCACACACACACCACACACGCACCACACACGCACCACACACACACACCACACACGCACCACACACGCACCACACACACACACCACACACGCACCACACACGCACCACACACACACACCACACACGCACCACACACACACACCACACATGCACCACACACGCACAACACACGCACCACACACGCACCACACACACACACCACACACGCACCATACACGCACACACACACCGCACACGCACCACACACACACATCGCACATGCACCCACACACACACACCACACACACACCACACACACACACCACACACGCACAACACACACACACCGCACATGCACCACACACACACGCACACGCACCACACACACCACACACGCACCCCACACACACACCACACATGCACCACACACACACACCGCACATGCACCACACACACACACACCGCACAGGCACCACACACACACAACACACACACACCACACGCACCACACACACACACCACACACACGAACCACACACGCACCACGCACGCACCCCACATGCACCACACGCACACACCACACACACACGCCACGTGGGGGATAAGGATGCACGGAAAGAGAGGCTTCATGGTTGAGGGTGACACAGCCAGGGCATAAAGGCGAAGCAGGGCGGGTGCAGCCAGGGCGCAATGGGGTGCGTGGTGTGGAAGGGGACAGAGGCGCACCTTGCGTTCCCTCTCAGCTGAGAGAATGTCGATCCCACGCCACCCCACTACAAGCTCTACAAGCTATCGAGCCAAACGCCTTTGATGTGTGTGTGGCAGGTAAGAGTGGGTGCAGCATGAGGCATCACCACCCTGCCGCACGCACACATGCACGGCACGGTACATACATGGGAGACGGCAAAAAGGATGCAGGGAGATAGAGCAGCTCCATGGTTCACAGTGACACAGCTGGGGCGCAAAAGGGAAAGCAGGGGGGGTGTAGGCAGGTCACAGGGCGGGACTTGGTGTGGGAGCAGGCAGAGATATACCTTGCCCTCTCTGCCAGCTGTCAGCGCGCCTTGATATGAGCTGGCAAGCCAGTCCCCTTTAGTGGGTGGCAGGTGAGAGTGGGAGCAGCAAGGGCATGGCTGCAGCAGAGGACGACTCATGATGACGCCTGGCCGTGACACTGCCTTCCTCCCCTCCCTCATTCCCTCCCCCATGCGTCAAACCACCCATCCTGCCCTGGCCGGAAGTGCCATCATACTCACTCCCCTCATTTCACTGCCTCCCCTCGTTCGGCTTCCTGCATTCCACAACCCCCAAACCAAACCTCCAACCGTTTTTGCCACCCGCCTCTCCCAAACTCCTGAAACAGTCCACATCACTTTCGCCCTCCTCTCCCTTCCCTTCTGTTGTCCCTTCCTGATCTTCCACCCTATTTTCCTCCTTTCCTTCCTCCCCTTACTCTTCCTCCCTTTTTGCCTCCTTTCTTTCCTCCCCTTCCTCTTCCACATGCACGTCACCTTGTCGTACCAGACTCACACGCACAGCCACCCTCTACACTCCTCTACCTCTACTCTCTCCTCAACGCTCGCAGACCTCGCACCCTCCTCCCCACCACACTACCGCCTGCCTGGCGTACAATGAGCACTCGCTTGAACAGCACCCCACCCCCCCCACAACTCCCTGTGCCTGCTCTGCGCTCTCCTCCTCTGCTCTGCTGTTCTGAGCCTGCTCTACGTTCTGCTGCTCTCCTGCTCTCCTGCTCGCCTGCACCTCCCACCCGTGTGCCCTGCACCACCATCACAGCCCGCAGGAGGAACGCCATGTTTGCACTTCGCACCACCACCACCACCACCTCTTCTGCGCCCCTCCCCACAGCTCCCCGCCCACCCTGCCTCCCCTCTCCGCATCTTCCACCCCCCTCCCCCCCTCCCCCTCAACCCCCCCCGCTGCTGCTGTAACTGCATGGGGCCAGGTGAGGATGGTGGTTTCTGCAAGCTCCTCATGCCGTGCGTGCGCCACACTACTATTGTAGGACTGCGCGCATAGGGGGAAGGGGACGGGGAAGAGGCAGCCAAGTGGGGAAGAGAAGCAACGGAGGTAGTGAGGAGTGATGTGAGGGGCCGAGGGATAAGGAGCCCCGAGGGTAGCGCGAACAAGGGGATGCAGCAGAGGTGCTTGGAAATGGCGATTCTGCCTATTGTCGTGACTCAGGGGTTCAGCCCACCTGGCTATTGTGGCTGCTGATGTTAGCCGCCGGTGCTCCTCGCTCTCTTCCCCTCCTCACCGCACCCCACTTCCCGCCCCTTCTGCCGCTCCGCTCCCCTAGCGCTCTCCCCACAAAGCCTCCTCTCCCTCTCGCTCGCTCCCACCCGGAACACCATTGCCATGGCACTTGCCAACCGGCACGGCGCCACCCAACCTCTTTCCGTGCCCTCCTGCCGGTGGTGCAACGGTGTGCAGCCCATGGCGCGTGTGTGTGTGTTTACTGCTAGCCCGTGCCCATGCTTATGCCCATGCCCGTGCTTGTGCCCATGCACATGCCCATGCCCATGCCCGTGCCCATGCCCATGCCCGTGCCCATGCCCATGCCCATGCCCATGCCCATGCCCGTGCCCATGCCCATGCCCGTGCCCATGCCCATGCCCATGCCCGTGCCCCTGCCCATGCCCATGCCCATGCCCATGCCCATGCCCATGCCCATGCCCATGCCCATGCCCGTGCCCATGCCCATGCCCATGCCCATGCCCATGCCCGTGCCCATGCCCATGCCCATGCCCGTGCCCCTGCCCATGCCCATGCCCATGCCCATGCCCATGCCCATGCCCATGCCCATGCCCATGCCCATGCCCATGCCCATGCCCATGCCCATGCCCATGCCCGTGCCCCTGCCCGTGCCCATGCTTATGCCCATGCCGCACCTTGTCCGCGTACACCACATGCGCGTGTGTTTACTGCTGCACCGCACCACCTTTTGAGACGAATCAAAAGGATGCCGCCCCTTGTCCGCGTGCACCTCGTCCGCGTGCACCACGTCCGCGTGTGTTTACTGCTGCACAAAAGTATGCCGCCCCTCGTGCGCATACACCTCGTGCCCGTGTGTTTACTGCTGCACCGCACAAGCTCACGGCCAGTCCGCCAGCCAGCTCTGCCCACCCCACCCGCAAGGCTGCAGCCAGCTCTGCTCGCCCGTCCGCACAAGAGCTCACGGTCAGTCCGCGTGAGGGAGGCGGCCACCGCCAGGCGCTCATGATTCTTGCGTTGCGATGCCGCACACGAGCGCATGACGCCATGAGCGAACGTGCCTCGGCGCTGCACGCAGGAGAGGGGGACAGAGGTGCAGAGGGGCATGGGGGAGAGGACAAGGGGCAGAGGGCAAGGGGCAGAGGGCAAGGGGCAGAGGGCAAGGGGCAGAGGGCACGGGGCAGAGGGCACGGGGGAGAGAGCAAGGGGGAGAGAGCAAGGGGGAGAGGGCATGGGGGAGGGGTATGCTTACTTCCATACTCCCCTCCCTGTCCCACGCTTCATCTCCACCCTGCTTACTCCCCCCTCCCCCCCACCCATCATTTTCATCTAGACTGCCCCACCACATGGAAGCGTCTCCACCATAGCCATCCTCTCCCCCACACCTTGGCCTGCAACTGTGAACTCTAACCGCCCTTCCTGCCCTGACCCATGCACAGCACCTGCGCTTATCAACGCACCATTCGCTGCCATCTAGTCCCCACTCCACTGTCCCCCCCGCCACTCCGGAGCTTGCCTTCGTGCCCTGGGCACGCGCTGCCACGCACCTCTCTCATGCTCGCCGCCGGCCTCTCCATTTCTGCCTCGAAGCCTGCGCTGTGAACTGTCCCCTGCACGCCGACTCAGAGGCACGTTCTACCTCTGAGAGTCCCCACCCAGTTCCCGCTTGCAGGCACACCCTACCTAGCATGGCGCCAGCATGGATGCAAGCAGCACGGCCACTGCCACTGGAGCCAGTACACCAGCCCCCCCAGCCCCTTCAGGCACTCTGTGTGCCAGTCCCCCCTGGCGGCCTTGGGCGTGAGTGGGAGGGCGGCCGTCCTCTCGGCACACGCCACTGCTCGTGAGGTGGGAGGGCGCCGCATCTCCAGCAACCAAGGTTCAAAAATACGACCGAATTTTTGAAAATTTACCGTAAAATACGGTATCGTATTTTACGGTCGTATTAAACGGTAAAATACGGCCAGACCTTGCATTTTTAGGTTCGTTCAAAAATACGGTCGTTTTTTACGGCCGAATTTTTCAAACGAGATTTTGGAGTTTCCGTGGGGCTCAGGAACATCCCCACAGAAGCTCAGACAGGTTCCGTGGCCATCTGTGATATTCTAGGGTTGGGCTGAGGCCAATGTCGAGATCTGTGAAAGTGTATGGGGGTTTGGGTCTTGTAGATCCAGTGCGGTGACAAGTGGTAAGTGGCGACGAATTGGTTGGGACATCGAGTTCCAACAATTTGACGGGGAGGAAGGGGTGCCTGAATTTGGGTTCTCAGTTCGTGGCGAATTCAAATTGACCAGCGAAATCGCCGATCTGTGCAGAGCTATGGGCGAAATCGCCGATCTGCGCAGATCGGCGGGCGAAATCGCCGGTATGCGCAGATCGGCAGGCGAAATCGCCGCACAAGCGGGGCCGCTTATAATAGTCTGAGTTTGGGGGGGGGAGCGGCTTTTTAGGCCCGATAATTAGCAATTTCTTTGATGTTCACATCCCTAGAAGTGGATGGTAGCAAGTCTGAAGTTTGATTATTATTTTTTTGCGGAGAAAAAAACTCTAACAAAAAAACGGCCGAAATTTTGAAAATTGACCGTAAAATACGACCGTAAAAAACGGCCCGTATAATACGACAACCGTATTTTTTATCCTTGCCAGCAACGACGCATATAATAACTGCGCTGCACTCTCTGCCTCCAATGATTGCACCGCACTATGCGCCTCCTGCAAGTGTGCACCCTGCCACACACACCACACACGCACTATACACACACCACGCACGCACCCTGCCACACACACACCACACACGCACCACACACGCACCACACACGCACCACACACGCACCACACACGCACCACACACGCACCACACACGCACCACACACGCACACCACACACGCACCACACACACACACCACACACGCACCACACACATACCACACACACACCACTCACACACCACACACACACACCACACACGCACCACATACAAACACCACACACGCACACACACGCACCACACACACACACCACACACACCACACACACACACCACATACAAACACCACACACGCACGCACACGCACCAAACACACACACAGCACACACACGCACCACGTGGGGGATAAGGATGCAGGGAAAGAGAGGCTTCATGGTTGAGGGTGACACAGCCAGGGCATAAGGCGAAGCAGTGCGGGTGGAGGCAAGGCAGGGCGCAATGGGGTGCGTGGAGTGGAAGTGGACAGAGGCGCACCTTGCGTTCCCTCCCAGCTGAGAGAATGTTGATGCCACGCCACCCCGCTACAAGCTCTACAAGCTGTCGAGCCAGACGCCTTTGATGCGTAGCAGGTAAGACTGGGTGCAGTGCAGCATGAGACATCGCCACCCTGCCGCACGCACACATGCACGGCACGGTACACGAGAGACGGAAAAAAGGATGCAGGGAGATAGAAAGGCTACATGGTTCACAGTGACACAGCTGGGGCGCAAAGGGGAGCAGGGCGGGTGTAGGCAGGTCACAGGGCGGGACGTGGTGTGGGAGCAGGCAGAGATATACCTTGCCCTCTCTGCCAGCTGTCAGCGCGCCTTGATATGAGCTGGCAAGCCAGTCGCCTTTAGTGGGTGGCAGTTGAAAGTGGGAGCAGCAAGGGCATGGCTGCAATTTTTGGTCGACTCAAAAGTCAGTCGCCTTTAGTGGGTGGCAGGTGAGAGTGGGAGCAGCAAGGGCATGGCTGCAGCAGAGGACGACTCATGACGATGCCTGGCCGTGCCACTGCCTTCCTCCCCTCCCTCATTCATCCCCTCCCCCATGCGTCAAACCGCTCATCCTGCCCTGGCCGGAAGTGCCATCGTACTCACTCCCCTCATTTCACTGCCTCCCCTCGTTCGGCTTCCTGCATTCCACAACCCCCAAACCAAACCTCCAACCGTTTTTGCCACCCGCCTCTCCCAAACTCCTGAAACAGTCCACATCACTTTCGCCCTCCTCTCCCTTCCCTTCTGTTGTCCCTTCCTGATCTTCCACCCTATTTTCCTCCTTTCCTTCCTCCCCTTCCTCTTCCACCTGCACGTCACCTTCTCATAGCAGACTCACACGCACAGCCACCCTCTACACCCCTCTACACCCCTCTACCTCTACTCTCTCCTCAACGCTCACAGACCTGGCACCCTCCCCCCCACCACACTACCGCCTGCCTGCCATACAATGAGCACTCGCTTGAACAGCACCTTCCCTTCCAAATCTCCACTTTTGAGGCGCCTCAAAACTAGACTCACAGAACTCGCACTCTTCCCCCCACCACACTACCGCCTGCCTGGCGTTCAATGAGCACTCGCTTGAACAGCACCCCATCCCCCCCCACAATCTCCCTGTGCCTGCTCTGCGCTCTCCTCCTCTCCTCTGCTCTGCTGTTCTGAGCCTGCTCTACGTTTTGCTGCTCTGCTGCTCTCCTGCTCACCTGCCCCTCCGCCTGTGTGCCCTCCACCACCACCATCACGGCCTGCATGAACGCACTGCGCACACACCACCACTGCCTCCTCCGCGCACCCCTCCCCGCTGCTCCTCGCCCACCCTTGCCTCCCCTCTCCGCATCTTGCGCCCCCCTCTGCTGCTGTAACTGCTATGTCCCTCACTGCACCCTGCCCTGCGCCTCTTGCCCCCCCTCCCACTGACCTGCGCCCTCCGCCGCTCACTCTTGCTGCCCTGGGCGCAGCAGCAGGCATGGGGCCAGGTGGAATGGAGTGGACATGGTGGACACAGGGGACGGCATCCCAGTGAGGATGGTGGCTTCTGCAAGCTCCTCATGCCGCGCGCCACACTGCTGCAGTAGGCATGCACGCATAGGGGGGCGGGGCAGGGAAGAGACAGCCACGTTTGGAACAGAAGCAACGCAGGCAGTGAGGAGTGCTGTGGGCGCCTGAGGAACAAGGGGCACTGAGGGTAGCGCGGACAGGGGGTGCAGCAGAGGTGCTTTGCAATGCGATTCCGCCCATTTGCAATGTCGTGACTCAGGAGGCCAGCCCACCTGGCTATAATGGCTGACGAGATTAGCCGCCGGTGCTCCTCGCTCTCTTCCCCCTGCTCACCGCACCGGCGCACCCCCAATTACCGTCCCTTGTGCCGCTCACGGCGCGCTCTCCCGGCAAAACCTCCTCTCCCTCTCGCTCGCTCCCACCCGCCCTGCGATTGCCATGGCCCTTGTCAACCCGCACGGGGCCACGCTCTCCGTGCCCTGCTGGCCGTGCAACAACGGCTTGCACTGGCGCGGATATGTGTGCATGCCGCTGGCCCATGCCCATGCCCATGCCCGTGCCCGTGCCCATGCCCGTGCCCGTGCCCATGCCCGTGCCCGTGCCCATGCCCATGCCCATGCCCATGCCCATGCCCATGCCCATGCCCATGCCCATGCCCATGCCCATGCCCGTGCCCATGCCCATGCTTATGCCCTGGCCGCACCTCGTCTGCATACACCACGTGTGCGTGTGTTTACTGCTGCACCGCACCGCACCGCACCGCACTGCACTGAACCAGCTCGCGGTCATCCGCCAGCCCCACCCGCACAGCTGCAGCCAGCTCTGCTCGCCAGTCTGCACAAGAGCTCACGGTCAGTCCGCGCGAACGAGGCGACCACCGCCAGGCGCTCATGATTCTTGCGCTGCGATGCCGCACACGAGCGCATGCCCCCGCGGATGAGCGAGCGCGCCTCCGCGCTGCACGCGGGGGAGGGGGACCGAGGCACAGAGGTGAGCGAGGAGAGGGCAAGGGGCAGAGGGCAAGGGGGAGAGGGCAAGGGGGAGAGGGCAAGGGGGAGAGGGCAAGGGGGAGAGGGCAAGGGGCAGAGGGCAAGGGGGAGAGGGCAAGGGGGAGAGGGCAAGGGGGAGAGGGCAAGGGGGAGAGGGCAAGGGGCAGAGGGCAAGGGGGAGAGGGCAAGGGGGAGAGGGCATGGGGGAGAGGGCATGGGGCAGAGGACAAGGGGCATATAATACACTGCCGGGATATGCAGGAGAGGGGAGCGTGGGGTATTCATCAAGCGAGGCGAATTTGGTGCCCGCCCCTTCTCCCCTAGCGCTCTCCCCACAAAGCCTCCTCTCCCTCTCGCTCGCTCCCACCCGCCCTGCCATTGCCATATCGCTTGTCAACGCGCACGGGGCCACGCTCTCCGTGCCCTGCTGGCCGTGTGGCGTGCAGCCCATGGCACGTGTAATCTGTGATTACTGCTGACCCGTGCCCGTGCCCATGCCCATGCCCATGCCCATGCCCATGCCCATGCCCATGCCCATGCCCATGCCCATGCCCATGCCCATGCCCATGCCCATGCCCGTTCCCGTGCCCCATGCTTATGCCTGGGCCACACCTCGTCCGCGTGCACCACGTGAGCGTGTGTTTACTGCTGCACCGCACCGCACCGCACCGCACCGCACCAGCTCGTGGTCATCCGCCAGCCCCACCCGCACGGCTGCAGCGAGCTCTGCTCGCCCGTCCACACAAGGTCACGTCACGGTCAGTCCGCGCGAACGAGGCGACCACCGCCAGGCGCTCATGAGTCTTGCGCTGCGATGCCGCACACGAGCGCAAATGAGCGAACGTGCCTCCGCGCTGCACGCGGGAGAGGGGGACAGAGGCGCAGAGGTGGGCGGGGAGAGGGCAAGGGGCAGATGGCAAGGGGCAGAGGGCATGGGGGAGAGGGCATGGGGGAGAGGGCAAGCGGCATAGGGCATGGGGGAGTTGTCAAAGTAAGAGATTAAGCTTGAAAGCCATACCTAGGGTTTGAGCTAGGAGAGGGTAGCGAGAGGAACGAGAGTTGGCCAAAAGAGAGGGTATTCACTATAGAATGTCAAGAACATGTAGGGAAACCAAAGGGTGCACCAACAAAACAAGAAACAATATAACTACACTGTTGTAAACTACAAGCAATATATAAAATATTATAACATATTTTGACAGGAGAGGGCATGGGGGAGAGGGCATGGGGGGGCGGGCAAGGGGGAGAGGGCAAGGGGCAGAGGGCATGGGGCAGAGGGCAAGGGGGAGAGGGCATGGGGGAGGGGGCATGGGGGAGACGGCATGGGGGAGAGGGCATGGGGGAGAGGGCAAGGGGGAGAGGGCATGGGGGAGAGGGCATGGGGGAGAGGGCAAGGGGGAGAGGGCAAGGGGGAGAGGGCATGGGGGAGAGGGCAAGGGGGAGAGGGCATGGGGGAGAGGGCAAGGGGGAGAGGGCAAGGGGGAGAGGGCAAGGGGGAGAGGGCATGGGGGAGAGGGCATGGGGAGAGGGCATGGGGGAGAGGGCATGGGGGAGAGGGCATGGGGGAGAGGGCATGGGGGAGAGGGCATGGGGGAGAGGGCATGGGGGAGAGGGCATGGGGGAGAGGGCATGGGGGAGAGGGCATGGGGGAGAGGGCATGGGGGAGAGGGCATGGGGGAGAGGGCATGGGGGAGAGGGCATGGGGGAGAGGGCATGGGGGAGAGGGCATGGGGGAGAGGGCATGGGGAGAGGGCATGGGGAGAGGGCATGGGGGAGAGGGCATGGGGGAGAGGGCATGGGGGAGAGGGCATGGGGGAGAGGGCATGGGGGAGAGGGCATGGGGAAGAGGGCATGGGGCATATAGATCGCCGGGATATGCAGGAGACAGCGGGGGCAGCGGGGTGGCGGTGGTGACAGGGCAGCAAGTTAGCGAGTCAAGCGCAAGGTGGGGTGAGGGCAAGAGTCGCAAGACGGCACAACTCAAGTCATGTGCGCATCAGGCCGCACCGCACGCGAGGTGCTTGCTTGGCTTTGCACGCACGACCACTGCAAGCGCGCGCACGCACCTATGCTCCATGCCACTCTTCCCATGCTCGCTTCTCCTCTCCGCATAGCTCTCCTTCTCCTTCGCTTCTACCGCGCCTGCTTACCCTTCTCCGCCTGCTTACCCTTCTCCGCCTGCTTACCCTTCTCCGCCTGCTTGCCCCTCCGCCTGCGACCCCGCCTCTGCTTTGTCTCAAGTCTCATCCCCGCCGCCACGCCACCCCTTATCGCCCACATCGTCGCCCGGTCAGACTCAAAGGCCACGCCACCCCATTATCGGGATCGTCCCGCAATCCCGATTCCCCTGGCCCTTGCGCGTCGCGCCATCCCCGCCCACGGCTTGCGCCTGCGCGCTCCCCTGCGCCCGCCACGCCTGCGCCAGAAGGCCGGTCCGCGGCTACGCGGCGGCGGACCGATCCGCGGCGCGCACCGCCGCCGCCAGGTGGCGGCCGGTCGAGAGCTGCGCGGAGGCCGGCGCAGGCGCGCGGCCAAGGGTGCGCCGCGCGGAGGTAACGCGCCTGGATTCGCCGGCAGCGTGCGCCCCGAAGGCGATGCGCGGAATTAGGTCAAAGCTGGTATACTAACTACCCGCTTGCTGCTCGGAACTGGACCCTACTTAGAAAGGCGGCGACGACTCTTCGACGACTCTGCGACGACTCTGCGTCGACTCTGCCCACTCGAACACTGACCCGGCGGGGGTCCTTCTGAGAATGCTAAAAAACACCATGCGGCAGTCGGCATCGGGTGACCATGACCACAGTGTGGGGGGGCGCCCTCCATCCGCGCACCCATCCACGCCACATGGTGGGGGGGCGCCCTCCATCCGCGCACCGATCCACGCCACATGGTGGGGGGGCGCCATCCATCCGCGCGCCTGCCGCCATCCCTAAGGGGCTCGTGTCTCGCCGCCGCACCCGGCTGTCGCAACGCGCGGCGGCCCCGACGCGGAGAGCCGAGAGCAGCGCGGCATGGGGCGGCAAGGGGCGAACGCGGCGGTGGCAGCGCTGCCGACGCCGTGATCTCGCGCTGGCGCAAGCGGTGACTGGAACACACAATATATCAAGCGGGGTACTAGTGCGGGGGGACATAAGGAAAGGCGGGTCCTCCGCACAGGACCCTCGATCACAGGAGGTATAATGACCGTGTGGTCATGCTGTGCGGTATAATGACATGAATCCGATGTATCTGGTATAGCATACCAGATGCATTTTCACCTCGTATTTTGAGATGCATTGCTAACAGCTCCACTGAATTGCAAATATCGTAGGCTCTCACATTCTATTATCCTCCTAACGTATAAATTTAACACTGCTCTAGAGTTCGGAATCTAGTTCTAACGTGATCCCTGAACATTTGAGGGATCTGTTGCGATCAAGAAGTTGATCGTGACCAGGATCACCTCAGGAAGCTTCGCACACTTCTAATCTAGTGGTGGTGGGCCCTTGACCTCAATGGCAGAGTGAATGTAAATGCTTGAGATAATAAAAACATGCAATACAAAGGATATAAATAAGAGTACAAGGGAATTCGAAACGACCTAGCTAGCCATGTACTCTAAGGGGTACATTCCCTTATTACAGCGAAAAGCAACCGTGCGACTCCAGACAGTTACGAAACTGTTCGGGCAGAATCCTCGTTATTGCTGCTGCTTGATGCTGTGTGCCCGACGGTCCAAATGCTCTTCGTAACCGTGTGACCCTTCGTGTCACTTGCGCCCTTTCACCTTCAGTCTCGGTAGTGCGTGCTTCGGTTGGTGCGGTGAGGAGTGCTCAATAGTGTTTTCAATAATCACTATTCCTAACACCCCCCTTCACTCCTGGCCGTAGCGAGTCTTGACCCGCTTGACTACCCCGCTGAGTTCGGAGCAGTGCTGGTACTGCTGACGTGACAGCTTCTTCGTGAGGAAGTCAGCTGCCATGTCACCCGTCGGGCAGTAGGTTAGGTCAACCTTGCCCTTGTCAACTTCGTCCTTGACGAAGAAGTACCGCAGCGCGATGTGTTTGGTGCGGTTGACGAATCCCGGCTTGTTCGCGATCCTGATCGCGCTCTGGTTGTCGCAGTGCAGGCGGAAGTTCGTCGAGGTTGGAATTTTCGCCTCCTGCAGCAGCTCCTGTAGGTAGAGGCCTTCGCGAACGGCTGCTGTTGCTGAGATGAATTCAGCTTCTGCTGATGACAGGGCAACCAGCTCCTGTTTCTGTGAATTCCAGGAGATGGGGCCGCTGGGCTCGAGGCGAAAAAGGAAGCCCGTTCTGGACCGTCGATTGTCAGGGTCAGCGGCGTGATCGGCGTCCACGTAGCCGATGAGGTTGAAGGACGAGGTTGGGATGGTGGAGTAACAGAGCCTGATGCTGGGCGTGGAGATGAAGAACTGGAGCGCCCGCTGGAGATCTAGTAGATTCTCAGCCGTTGGTTTGCGAGAGTACTGAGCCAACTGGCTCGCGATGTAGGAAAGGTCGGGCCTGCAGGTAACAGATGCAAAGAGCAGGCATCCCAACTGCTGCTGGTAGGTTTGAAGCCCAGCAGGGGATAGGGCTTTGATGTCAGGCTTGTGGTTGGGTCCTGGAGTGCGGTAAGGGGTGGAGAGTGGTGCAGGCGAAATGTTGAAGCGCTTGCTAAGCTCCTCTGCATACTTTGCCGCTGAGAGATGAATGGCTTCCGGCGAGTAGGTGATGTTGAGCCCGAGGAACTGCTTCACGTCGTGGTTGCAGGTGATGTCGACGCGCCCTGCGAGGTTTTTCTCGAATTGCTCAAGCAGCTCGTTGCTTGACCCTGTGTAGAGGAGGTCGTCGACGTAGACTGTGAGCAGGATGTATTCGCCGCGGAAATCGCGGCGATACATTCCAGGATCGTGAGGCAGCTGCTTGAACCCGATTTCAAGCAGTATGTTGTGCAGGTACTGCTGCCAGAGTCTCGGTGCTTGCTTGATCCCATAAAGGGACTTGCGTAGCTGACAAACACGTGGGTCCCCGTCGCCGTATGTGTGCGGCTGCTCTACGTAGATCACGGCGTCCACTAATGCGTACAGGAACGCATTCTTCACATCGATCTGCCGGAGTGGTAGGTGTCGTGCGGCTGCGATGGCGAGGAGAATTCTGACGGACGTGTGACGGCTGACCGGTGCAAATGTCTGGTCGAAATCAATCCCGTGCCTCTGATCGTAGCCACGCACCACCCAGCGCGCCTTGAATCGCTCAATCGTCCCGTCAGCTCCTGTCTTCACGGAAGACCCATTTGCCGGAGAGAATCCTTCTCCCCTTAACTGCTGCACGGTCGACGAGCACCCAGGTGTCGCGTGACTCGAGCGCACGGATTTCCGCATCCATTGCTTCGCGCCACTCCTTGCTGTGTGGGCCTGTGAGAGCTTGTCGTGGGTTCTTAGGTTCGATGATGCGCGGAGCGGTGGAGATGGCAGCGTGAAGTCCCAGAAGCTGAAGGCCAGTGACGGTGCTGTCATGGCGATGTTGGGTGACGACTTCCTGCACGTCGTCATCATCGCTTTCTGGTTCAGGCGGTGCTGGTGGTGCTGTGCCTCCGCCGCTTCCGCTTCCTCCTGCTGCGCCTCCTCCCGCTGCGCCCGTTCCTCCTTCTCCTGAATCATCGTCGTCGTCGTCGTCACGGCGATCGCCCCTTGTGAACTCCCCTCTGGGATCCTGCTCCAGAATTGCTGCTGCTGCTTCGTCCTCAGGTGAAGCGTAGCTGTGGCCCTCATTGGCGTAGACGCGGTTTGCGTTCGTCTGCTCGTCGTCACGGAATTGCTGCAGAAACAGCCGCTCGTAGAAGATGACGTCGCGCGCATTCTTGATTTTCTGGCTCAGGAGGTCCAGGATGATCCACGCCTTGTGTTCGTGGCTGATGCCGAGGTGGATTCCCCAGCGCGCGCGGCTCTTAAATTTCCCGATGGTTGATGTTGGCGGTCGGTATTGAACCATGCATCCCCAGACGCGGAGCATGGAGGTGTCCCCCTTTCTTCCCGTCTATTTCACATGCGGCGAGGAGTTGCCGGTGATTGCGGTGGTTGACAGCAGGTTGTGCACCCGCACGGCGTGGTGCATCGCGTAGGTCCAGTAGATCGGCGGGAGCTTCGCCTGCCGCATTAGCGCCCTTACCTTCGTCATGAGGGTGCGATTCGTGCGCTCAGCTACGCCCTGCTGCTGGTGCGCGTAGGGAAGAGAAAGGTGATGCTCGATCCCCTTTTGCGCAAGGTAGTCCTGCAGCTCCTTGCTCCTGAACTCCGCCGCACCATCGGACTGCCAGATCTTCAATTTCTCCCCAGATTGCCGCTGCGCGTGCGCCAGCCACAGGCGGAATGCTTCGTAGGCTCTGCTGCGTGCTTCCACGTTTACGACCCACACGTGTGTCAAACATTATATATGTTGTGTTAGTTTAGGCTACAGTGGGTTAGCCTATAGGGGGTACACAATTCTAGGGTTAGGTACTTGTACTCTTTTCATTGCTAGTTCATTCATTCCTGTTCAGTGATTCCAACATGGTATAGAGCAGGTCCTTCCTAGGACCGAAATTTTCTAAGGGCCCACCACTACGTCACTACCTACCTACCTACCTACCCGTGCCCTAGGGCGCCTCGGCGTGTCACGCCCCTAGAGGCCCCTCTTGACGGCCCCGCGCTAGCCCCGTTCAGGTCCCGTCGGCCCCTTTAAGGCCCCGTTCAGGCCCCGCGCTAGCCCCGTTTAGGCCCCGTCGGCCCCTTTTCAGGCCCCGTCGGCCCCGCGCTAGCCCCTCTCAGGCCCCGTCGGCCCGCGCTAGCCCCGTTTCAGGCCCCGTCGGCCCCGTTTCAGGCCCCGTCGGCCCCGCGCTAGCCCCTCTCAGGCCCCGTCGGCCCGCGCTAGCCCCGTTTCAGGCCCCGTCGGCCCGCGCTAGCCCCGTTTCAGGCCCCGTAGGCCCCGCGCTAGCCCCTCTCAGGCCCCGTCGGCCCCGCGCTAGCCCCATTCAGGCCCCGATCAGGCCCGCGCTAGCCCCGTTTCAGGCCCCTTCGGCCCCGTTTCAGGCCCCGTCGGCCCCGCGCTAGCCCCGTTCAGGCCCCGTCGGCCCCTTGCTAGCCCCGTCAAGGCCCCGTTTGGCCCCGCGCTAGCCCCGCTCAGGCTCCGATCGGCCCCGCGCTCGCCCCTCTAGGGCCCCAACCGGCCCCGTGCCTACCTCGCCGACCCGTGCCCACCACCCAGAGGCCCCGGGCGGCCCGTTCCCGCCGCAGCACAAGAGGGAGAGCGGGCGGCCCGTCCCCGCCATGACCTGAGCCGAGCCGCGCGCCCCGAGCCGAGCCGCGCCACCCAGCCGAGCCGCGACCCGACCTGAACCGAGCCGCGCCGCCCTGCCCTACCTGGTTCGTCCTACCTGCTTCTCCTACCGCTACTGCTGCTATTTCTACTGTTCCTATGGCTAGCCCACAGGTTCTCGTGTTCGATGCTGAGGGCCGCCCTGTGAAGTTTGACACCTGGCTCGATGACCTGCACCTCTACCTACAGCTCACAGCCAAGGATGACATCTCACTGTACGATCACGCCCTAGGCCTTGTCACTGCCCCTGCTGCTACTGCTGACAGCACTGCTCGCTCACAGTGGCAGACTCGTGATGCCCACGCTCGCTTCGCCATTCGCAACTCCCTGCCGATAGACGAACGCGAGCACTTTGGTCAGCACAAGACTGCACCGGCACTGTACACAGCTGTAGTTGCTCGCTACTCCTCACCTGCCTCTGCCGCACTAGGCCGTCTCTCCCTCCCCTACCTGTTTCCCGACCTGGCCTCCTTTCACACAGTCGCTGACCTCATCACGCACCTCCGTACTAGTGAGGCCCGCTTCCGTGCCGCCATGCCTGCTGAGTTCCTTGCCACGCACCCCCCTCCACTCTGGCTCACTCTCTATCACCTAGTCACCCGCCTCCCTGACACACTGCGTGCTGTCAGGGACCACTTCCTAGCTCGTTGCCCCACTGAGCTCACCATTGCCCTCCTCGAGAAGGAGCTACTTGCAGCTGAGGCTAGCATAGTCGCTGTAGGTGCCTC